TTCCCACAAAAATTTTCGTCCCCCCCCCCCCCCCCCCCCCCCCCAGTACGGTATACTGTAGGCATTTCTTCGTTTTGGCAAGGCTGGGATGGCATGCCGAGGTTCGTTCCTTGGTTATATGAGATGGATGGATCTTTGTTTCGCTGCCCTGATGTCGAAATGGCTTACACGAAATGAAGGCAACTTCACTGCTTGCATGATTTATTTTCTCAAGGGAGAGTCAAGTTCATTTGTGTTTTCAAGTGTACTCGTACATGCACGACCAAAGTTCTATCTATCTTGCTATCTAATCCTGCAAAGTCCCTAGTAAAACAGTGACTTTTTTGCTTTTTTATATCCCTGAACCATTCTTTTTTATTCTCTCCTCATTGAGCACGTGAAAGGCTTCTTTCGCTTTCTAGAAATCGTATTGGACCAGTCACATTGCATGCTTCCTCTTCCCGCACTCCATGGTACATACACACAAAGACATTTTGTTTCACAGGGGTATTCGTACAAGGCAGGCCCCCCCCCCCCCCATCAGTAAGCGTTTTATGATATCACTCTTGTCCGGGGGGGTGTCTGCGTTCTCTTTCATCAGCTAGCCGCGAGCCCTTTTTTATTTGGTTCGCTTGGCCTCGAGCTCGGCCTCGTACTTGGCGACCAGCTCCTTTCTATAAACGGTATTAGTCACCAATGACGGATATGAAGCAAACAACGATGCCTCATCTTAAAAAAAAACTGGCGAGAGAGAGAGAGAAGTTAAAAGAGGGTGGAAATAAAACTTACTGCAAGTGAGGAGGAGCAGGGGCATAGTGGCTAAACTCCATGCTGAATTCACCCTTGCCCTGAGTAGCGGCACGCAGCTGCGAGCTAAAGCCAAACATGGCGTTGAGGCTGCAGTCACAGATGAGCGTAAAGTCCTCGCTACCGATTTCCGTGTCGTGGATGGTGGCGTTACGCTTGTTCATCAGCATGAGAATGTTTCCCTGGAACTCGTTCGGGGCGGTAATGGTCGTCTTCATCAGCGGCTCGAGGACCTGGCCGCCGGCTTCGGGGAAGGCCTTGCGGAAGGCCATCTGGGTGGCCAGGTTGAAGGCGTAATCGGAAGAATCGGTAACGTGGGTCTGGCCGTCGTTGATAATCATCTTGGATCCGATGACGCGGTGGCCCAGCAGGGGGCCCTTTTCGCAGGCAAGCTCGAAACCCTTGGAGCAGGCCGACAGGAACTTGTCGGGGATGTGGCCGCCGACGACCTGGCTCTCGTAGTGGTTCTCCTCGGGCTTGTCGTTGGGCTCGATGTAGCCGGCGACGCGGGCAAAGTCACCGGGACCGCCGCTCTGCCGCTTGAGGAGGTAATCGAAGTCGGCACGGCGTGAGATGGTCTCGCGGTAGGCGACACGGGGCTGGCCGGTGACGCACTCCGTCTTGTATTCTCGCTTGAGGCGCTCGACGTAGACTTCGAGGTGCAATTCACCCATGCCGGAAATGATGGTCTCTTCGCTCTCGGCATCGACGTGGACACGGAAGGTCGGATCCTCGCGCTGGAATCGGTTCATCGCCTTGCTGAAGTTGTCGGCGTCGCCAGTGCGCTTCGGCTTGATGGACAAGGACATGACGGCATCGGGGACGAACATGGAAGACATGGTGTAGGGGAGACCGCCATCGGTAAAGGTGTCGCCGGAAGCACAGTCGACACCGAACACGGCGCAAATCTCACCGGCACCGACCTCGTTGACGTCCTCCATCTCGTTGGAGTGCATGCGGACGATACGGGGAATGCGGACCTTCTTGTCGGTTCGGGAGTTGTACAGATAGGTACCCTTGCTCAGGGTTCCCTGGTAGACACGGATGTAGGTAAGTTGGCCATAGTTGTTCTCCTCGAGCTTGAACGCAAGACCGACAAAGGGGAGCGAGTTGTAGGGGACCAGCGACACGGTCTCCTCTCCCTTGGACTTGTCCAGAGCGGTGTTTTCGATCTGACCGGGGTTGGGGAGGTAATCGCAGACAGCATCCAGCATGGGCTGGATACCCTTATCGGCCAGGGCAGAGCCCATCATGACAGGAGTAAACTTGCGGGCAATGGTGGCGCGGCGGATGGCAGCCTTGATCTGGGCATTGGTAGGCTCCTGCTCATCGAGATACAGCTCGGCGATTTCGTCGTCGACGTCGGCCAGTTTCTCAATCAAGAATTGTCGCTTCTCAGCGGCAAACTCTTGCAGATTAGCCGGCACCTGGTCGGTAACTCGGACCTTTGTGCCACGGGGGCCCTCAAAGTACATGGCCTTCATTTCGATAATGTCGACAACGCCCTCGAACTCGTCCTCGGCGCCAATGGGGATCTGGATGGCGGCCGCGGGGATCTTGAGCTTGGAGTTGATCTGCTCGACGGCCTTCCAGGGGTTGGCACCCATGCGGTCCATCTTGTTGATGAAGGAAATCCTAGGAACGTCGTAGCGCTTCATTTGGCGATCGACCGTAATCGTTTGGGACTGGACAGCAGAGACAGCGCAGAGAATCATGACGGCACCATCAAGCACGCGCAAAGCACGCTCGACCTCGATGGTGAAGTCGATGTGGCCGGGAGTGTCGATCAAGTTGACGTGATACTCCTCGTCCTTTCCGTTTACCGTTTTGGTCCAGTCGCAGAATGTAGCCGCAGACTGAATGGTGATGCCCTTTTCTCGTTCCAGTTCCATAGAATCCATCTTGGCGCCGACGGCATCTTTGCCTCGGACCTCGTGGATTGCCTTGATTCGACCAGTGTAGAAGAGAACTCGTTCCGTTACCGTAGTTTTGCCACTATCAATGTGTGCCTGTTGTTTGTGTATATCTTGTTAGTTCTTTTGTCTCTTTTCTCTATTCTCGAGTTTTATATATGCGCCATCAACAGCAAAGGTGGGTTCGTACTGCGATACCGATGTTCCGGACTGAAGAGAGACGCTGAATCTCTTCGGGAGCAAGGTTGGCGGCAACAGACTCGGCCGTGAGGCTGGCAGCATCGTTCTGCGCCTTTTTCAAACTATTCGTTTTCTCAATGTCAGCCTCATTGTTCCATCCCTGCATCCAACTCGCTCGCAAGTTTCATGACTGGAAAATCACAAGACGTGGTTGGCAGTCCTTACGCTTCCTGCGCAGCATTGAGCCGCGGGGCCGATCCGCTGAAAGCTCGCAGCTGGCCCTGATAAGCCAAGGGAAGAATGGCAGCTTGGAAATTGCGAGCTCCAGAAGTTGCCTTCTGGGCATCCGCAAGCAGATGACAATTAAGCCATCTGGCAGTCCCAAATGCCCTCATGTTGCGAGCTTGTCCACGGGCAAAGGTGGGTTGATGGCACTCAGAGATCGGCCATCGGCTTAATGGCCGCTTGAAACTTTTTTTTTTTTTTTTTTTTTTTAGTTCGTCAGGGTCCCTCCAATTGGCTCAATCTCTCACGTGCAGTCGCAAATCGGACCACCGCCACAGTGTGCATTGGAAATAGCCTCAATTATTGGGATGGGATTTTTAAAGGATACTCACAGGGAACATGTTTGTAAATACGGATAATAATGGTTTTGACTATGTGTAATCTCTCAAGTTACATGTCTATGTGTATGTACTTATGTACCTAGGTATCTGAACGCTTCTTTGTAGCGAATGTCTTGGAAGCCAGCCTCAACTCCAGTGAATGCTTGCTTGTATGCAAAAGAAGTAAGAAGAAAAAAGAAACAGAATTGATCCCATATTATACCATTGCGCCCCAATATCATTTTAACCCAACATTTCATAAACACCCACGAGCGGTAGGTTGACGAATTCAACGAATGTGCAATTTACAGCCACCCAACGCCGAACACGGCACTTCCAAGAAGAGTGTAGCAGATGGTCAAACCGACAACAATCATTCCAGGGCCGGAAAAGGCACCGGTCAAGGAAGCAGCGTTGTCGTCGTCGCCATTTTGGAAGCCACTCTCAGCAGACATACCAGACTGCGTCGATGACGAGTGGCCAGTGTTGCTCTGGTTTGGAGCGCTGGTGGAGGATGGGATAGGAGCACCGCTGCTGGCAAAGGCCACAACGTTGGTCTGGGTAGAGTTGAAGTTGGTCGGAGCAATTCCAATCTCGTTGTTGACCAGGTCATAGGCAACGAATGCAGATCGGAGGAACGTGTCGCCAAGCAGGTAAGGAGCGTCGGTGGTGTTCTGGATGCCAAACTCGCAGATGGACTGGCCCTTGTTGGGACCAGACGAGAACTGAGGAGGGGGGCCGCCGCTGAAGAGGTCGAGGACGAGCTCCGACAAGGTGACGTTGATTGTAGGGCCATCGGCTCCGGCAAAGGTAAAGGCGAAGTGGCCGTTGATGTTTCCGACAGAGCAAGGAACAACAGCAATGCCGAGCTCGCCGCTGAAAGTAGCTCCAACCTCGTTCCACGCCTGCTCAGCCATGTCTTGCGGCAGATAGGTTAGAGTGGTTCCCGAATCCAGAACAGCTGTCAGAGTCTGCTGACTTGTGCTGAGGGTGTCGGTGCCACTGGCGCTTGAAGCCTCGACCGAGTACAGGTTGACGGCGAACTCGGTGAAGGTCTTGCCGCCGTCGGGGGAAATGATGTTGATCCTGGTCAATTCGCCGTGATACTTTTCGGTGTCGATGCCGCCGAATAGGATGGAGCCCGTGCTGGCATCCAGGTCGTTGAGCCACAGGCTAAAGGCTACTGTGTTGATGAACTTCTGCTGCTGCAAGACAACGGGGAGGTTCGGGTAGGTAGATCGGGTTGTGCCGAGTGATGCCTCATCGTTGATGTATCCCACTCCCACCAGGCCGTTGGCGATAGACGTGTCCAGGCCAAGTCCCATGGTGAGGTTCTGGATGTCCATGCCGTTGATGCGGAAGGTGTCTTGAATGTAGTCGCCTTTGGACGAGGAGCCATCGACATAGGTGATGTCGAAGAGGTTTTCTCCAACAACCTCAAAGCTGCTGGAATCATCGGAGTTGTCTGGGAAAGGAAGGAATTATGTGAGCTGTAGACACATACAATAAGGGGGGTTCCTTGTAACTTACAGCTTCCAAAAGTGCAGCCGGGGTTTCTATCTGAAGTTTGAGTGCAGATGGGAGCCGTCGAAGCAGGGACCCAGACATCACTACTGCCTGTGTCGAGCTGCAGCGTGATGTTCTGGCCAGGGGTTCCAACCTCGACGTTGATAAAGTATCCGCCCTGGACCTTTTCGTTGAACAGAGTGCCATCGATGGTCGCGTCTCGTTTGCGAAGACTCGGTGCGTGACGCCTCTCAATGTCGAACTGGACGACTTGGGCTTGGGCTGTTGAGGCGAGGACGACGCCTGCAACGGCCAGGGGGGAGGCCTTCATGGCGGCAAGGCTACTGGAGAATATACAATGGATAAGAATAGGTACTGATGGAGATATCTACTTTGTAGCAAGACTGTATACAGTGTCGACGATGCTGTAGGGCCGTCTGCGCGTCTCCGTAGGATGAGTTTAGGTAGGTTGTGAAAAACTGATGCCGTGAGGCTCTGGTAAGGTAGTATGGAGATCAGGTACGCAACAAAAAAACACACACACGGAGTGATGCCAATAAGAATAGATGTCTCGCACAAAAAACTCCAGGGTATAGACGGCCAAGACAAGGAAAATAAGACACTCGGAGAAAATCAACAGAGGAGGAAACTCAGATCAAACCAGGCTCGCCATGCCGCTCAGGGTCCCGGGCCATTGTTATAAATCGTCCCAGACGGATGCGGCGTGGCTGTGAAATGAGACGCACTGCTGAAACAGGAGAAGCTGCACTGACAGGCGTCGTCATTAGCGCCCAAGCGGTGGAGACTTGCCCGGCACACGGGGGATTTGAGAGCACTGAACATTAAGCTGATGCCGATGCCGAGTCGCCGAGTGTGGCAGGGAAACGCGCGTTTCTGCAGCGGCGGATATAACGGGCGCTGAGTTGTCAGAGGGGAATGACGACGACAGCCTCAGCAAAAGAGAAGAAGAAGAAAAGCTTTTTTCGATTCCATCTCTTGTTGTTCGGGTTTTTGCTGCATCTTCTTTTTTTTTCTTTCGGCCGCCGGCTTGTGCGTCTGTCCGCCTCCGCTGTAGGTACCTGTACCCACAGTCTTTCACAGCCCCCGTGGGTATTGAACATGAATACACATCAATCGGTCCAACAGATGGAATTAAGGGTTCTAGTCTACTGCTACTGCTACCAAGGATTAACGAGGGCTGACTGACCCAACTTCAATACGATACGGTACATGCATATGTCAGGAACTGGGCCGCCAAAAGTGCAAAACTCGGATTCCCCAATGTTACCTACTATAATCCACAGGTACATGCAGCCTCAATCCAACTGGTCCGAGACACCCAGCTGGCGGGTAAAAATAGAAGGGCTGCTTGTGGCTGAGGCTCTGATTCCATCAAATGCTTCTCCTAGTACATGTAATATTGCCTAATGCGGCACAGGGACCCCAGCGACAAATCTCCCCTCCCGCTCATTGGCCCAGATGCTGCTGCACATAGACCCCCAGTTTCTGCAGCGCTTCTGCCAACACCGCTGTAGATCCAACAAAGCCAACTCGAACATAGCCCGCAAAGTCCTCGTCGTGTCCGAAGCAGCGCGATCCGGGCACCAGGAGCACTTTGGTCTTGTCCAGCACGTCGCGGCAAAAGGCCGCATCATCCACCGGCTTGCCGCCCACATGGAACTGGATGAATGCCGTCGTTCCCGCGGTTGGCGCCACCCACGAACAGACCGACGAGTGCGCCTCTACAAACGCCGCGAGCATGTCGGCGTTGTGCTTTGCCTGCCGGATATTCCGCTTCATGAGTGCTCCGCGCACGGCCGGGGAAAGCGCATAGCTTGCCACCTGGTCGTCGAGCTGCGACACGCTGATTGTCACGTAGTGTCGCGCCTCAACCAGTCTCTCGACAATGGCCTTGTCGCCTGACGCAATCCAGCCCACCCGGATACCGCCTAGAGAGTAAGCTTTGGACAGAGATCCGGTGACAATGGCTTTATCATAGCCCAAGTCTGCCACCGACGGAGGCATGTCTGCGTTGTCTTCCAGTCCGTCGTGAAATAACGGCCGATAGACCTCGTCGGACAGGATCATGATCCCCCTGGCCTTGGCAAAGTCCACAATTTTATAAACGACATCTCGGGGGATGGGCACCCCGGTAGGGTTGTTGGGGTTGTTAATGACAATCATCTTGAGTTGTGGGGTTAGCGACGAGGACTCTAATGAAACCAAATGAATGGATGCCACACAACTGGGTGTTACAGTACGGACCTTTGTGTTTGCTTTGGCGAGCCTCTCCAGCTCATCCATGTCAGGTACGAAGCCCTGCTCAGGCTTCAAGCGCCAAAGCGAAACCTCTGCTCCAAGGCTCTCGGGCACTGAGTAGAGCTGCTGATACGTGGGATACACGCAGATGACATGGTCCCCAGGTTCGATCAAGCTATAAAAGGCCAAGAAGTTGGCCGCTATAGCGCCCTGAGTGATGATGACATTCTCGGGTGCTATCTGATCCCCTTCGTAGAGAGTCGCGATGGTTTCCCTCAACGCCGATGACCCGCGGATTGCCCCATATATGAGCACAGTGCTGGTTCGTGGCGGAAGCTCACCCTTGCCTCCGGATAGCTGGGCCAATTGATCGATGGAGACGGACTCAACACATGTCTCAGCAATGTTAAGGACTCCGGGGGTAAATTCATAGGCCTCCATCCACCGCTCAACCTCAAAATGCTGGAAGCGAACCATGTTGGGTGGATCTAATGGAAGGGTTCTGAGACTCTTACAGATAACGTTACAGTATACTTCTGCTGTGTCTCGGTTGATCTGTTTCACGGTCTCTTTCATTAAATACTAGCCGTAATGATCAGAATAGATTTCATGATTAGGCCCAAGCGGGGCAAGACCGGACCTTATATGTCTCAATTTGTGTAACCTCATGAGGGCGACTGTCGGGCAATCGGGGTAGGTAGCTGGTGGAGGCGCGCCTTGTTGATGATCTTGCCCCAACGATTGGTTTCAAGCTCCACGTTTGCGACCTATCGGGTACTTTTAATCGATGCCGGTGACCGGCACCAGGACCGGACTCGATGCTAGTCCATCTGCAATATGAAGCGGCTATCTGTAGTCAGAATGTCAATCTCAGGTACGCCTTTTAGGAGGTGTAATTGAAGATATCGGCTGCATAGCCAGCAGAATGGCATGGCGATGAATCTTGATGAAGAAGCCGACGCATGGAAGAGACTTGAAAGGGCCTAGGTTTGAGTATTTCCCCTGGAATTATGCCATTTATCTTCAAGTTGTTACTGTCGGGTTACGACCAGCTCTAGGTTAAGCGCTGGGTTAGTATTGCGTGTAAGAGCATGCAAAGGTAATATATCGAGCAAGCCCAGGATTGTGTTCATTCTTGTACTATGACTACTTCAACAGTGAAAATGAATCAATAGAAGATATCAAAGACGGGAGGGTATATTCATCAAAACGATGCTGCTGCTTTGGTGCTGTTGATCCATTTTTGTACTTTAATATGTACTTAGTACATTTGTCTTTCGGCTTTAGAGTCCATGCAGCCTCTCACTTACAGAACAAAGTTTATTGAAATCACAGCCTTTTCAGCCACGGTCATCTAGCTACATAGACCAGCGACGGCCTTGAATTTTCAAAGTTATGATTTGCGGGTGTTTAAGGGAGATCTGAATTCAATCTCATTGGGCCATGTGACTGTGGGGATGAAGACCCCTTCGGGCACTCACACTCCTACGTACCCCACATCCAACATCCCACGGATGCCATCATTTAGCCTCGGATCACAATCGAATGCTCAATGACACCACCTTCATCCAACGTCCTTTGAGCTTCATCTTTGCATCATCATCATCATCATCATCATCATTTTGTTCAAGTTCATCATGGCTCCGACAAGCAGCAACGCGCCTGCGCTGCTCCTGCTGCCAGCCCCTCCCAACACACTGCATCCTCATTCTCTGGCCGCCGCCTACTGGGCGCCTGTAACAGTGGTTCTGAAGCGCATCATCGCCACGGGCATCAACGGCAATAGTAGCAACAACAACTCCAATGCCAACCCCGGCACTGGCACAAATCATGTTCTCGTCATCGCAGTCGCCTGCAACGTCCTTACCGGGCCTTCACCAAGGCGCAAGTCCATAAATTGGAAGGCTGCGCAGTCTCTTCTTGCCCGCGTTTACACTCTCATCGCGGCCATTTGCGATGAGCTGGACATTGTCACATCAGGCGAACCGGGTAGCAGCAGCGTCGATCCACGTGTTGTGTTAATCGATCATGAGCGGAACAAGACGTATCAGCGCAACTATGATGGAGAGTATGAAGCAAATTGCACGCCCGTGTTGGATCTGGCCGCCTTTGCCTCGACGGTGTATCCTTGGAAGACGGTCTTCCACCCCAGTTCCGAGGAAGGCTATGAGCTCCTCAACGCTTTCCTGGAGTACTCACAGGGGAAACAAACTCTTCTGCAAAGCCAAATGGTTGCTGTTGAAGGCGGCCTCACCATGTCCGCTCGTGAAGTCCCGCCTGTTGCTCAGGAGGATTTCATCAACGGCCACGATACTGTTTGTCTGGGTGGCACGTTTGACCATCTTCATGCGGGGCACAAGCTGCTTCTTCATGCCACTGCTTTGCTTATGGGAATCCCTGAGAAACATACGGGGAAGCACTCTGTTCTCATCGTCGGGATTTCAGGAGATGAGCTGTTGAAGAATAAGAAGTACGCTGAAGTGCTACAGCCTTGGGATGTGCGTGCAAACAATGTTCTGCAGTTTCTCTCTACTATATTCAACTCGGCTTCTTCGTCCAACACAAACACCTTGCCGCCCACATCTACGCCGGTGCCGGATGAGCTTCATGCTACATTCCGCGACGGCACGGTGCTGGTTCGCTGTGTGAACATCCACGACCCCTTTGGCCCAACCATCTCGGAGGAAACTATGGACGTAATTGTGGTTTCAGGGGAGACTCGGAGCGGCGGACAGGCTATCAACGACAAGAGAACCGAGAAAGGGTGGAAGCCGCTCGAGGTGTTTGAGATTGACGTGCTCGACCCAAGCGATATCTTGAAGGAAGGCAGCAGAACACTGAGCAATGGATTTGCGACAAAGATTAGCAGCACGGCAATCCGGCAGCGAATCGCCCAAGCCAAAGAGGAATCACAATAGCTATACTGGTGATGGCTGATATCATCCACTGGCTGGATCACGAGTGATGCATCATGACGAATAAATGTTATCATGTCGGGCGATTGATACCACACTCATATGACACACATTTTTCTCTATTGTTTACAGGGGCCCACAAAGCTCGTCTGCACAGTCATTTTTACGAGCACCAGCAAAAAAGGAAGGCAAAAAAGGATGCCATAGCGAGGAATCGAACCTCGGCCGTCAGTGCTTCGCTTAGTCCACAAACTGATATACTACCACTATATTACTATGGCTTAGACTGATGAATTGGCACTATCGTGAACTAATTTTACCTATAAAGGAGGAGCGCCTTCTCTGGGTGCATATCATCAACGACTGCAGGGATTACGAATATTGGCTGCTATAAGGTTTTTATTAAATTACCATACCGAGGTGGATGGATGAAACCTTTCCAGCTTTTGGATCAAGTTCGTTCAATGCACTATAGCGAGCTGTAGAAGGCAAAGCATGATGCAGCCAATATTCCTGGTAAAACCTTCAAACGATGTACCGCGTATGCTCTTCACCTCTGCTTGTAGCGTTGTCTTGGTGTTGACTATCATGTTGAAGTGTGGGATGTGAAAAAACATGTCATGATGAATCTAAGTAGGAGTCGTTCTAGTGAGATTGGCAACTTGCTCTGGCCACTCCTGATATTATTTAGAAGATGAACTGTTCACAGTTGACTTCTGAGGCTTGCTCGCATGATTCCTGATGCCTTATAGTCCATACTGTGTTTATCACTACCATTGATACCATCAGACACAATTACAAGGGGAGTGGCTCGGGGACCTACATGTAGATAAGGCACTTTTGTCTCACTGCCACGCTGGTCGTACAGACGACGCCACCCATCGTTTCCTGGCTTCAAATGGAAATAGAGAAGAAGCTGGTATTGATCTATGCTGCTTGTACTACAACCCCAAAGACCTTAGCAACTGCAGAGAATACAGCCTCATCGCCTATATGCACGCTTCCTGCTATCATGGCCTGAGAATCATGTCACTGCAAATACGCGTAAAAAAGAAATGGAAGAGCTCCTGCGGCTGTCCTGTCTCTGCAGTACAAGCAAGGTACGGGCGGCATGCCGCATCTGTACAAGCTCTCACACACTGATCGTCACCACGTGTTTTGTAACGCGCCGTGTTCCAGCAAGTCCAGAGCTGATGGGCCGCTGTACCAATCGGACGACAGGGCGGGGTTGGGGGTTGTTGGGGGACTTGGACTTGGGGGTTGCCCCAGACCACCGGCGGATTCGATGACGACCTTGTTTCGCGCCAGGAACCGAGCCGCGGTACGTACCTGGGGCTGGCGCCTCCAGCCTTGAGAGTTCAGTTCAGCCTGTGCGGTGCTTCTTCTTCCCTCACCAACACCAGCTCGAGTCCTCACCTCTCCTTCGCAACCTCTGCAGCTCATCGCCATGGCGCCCCTCAGCTGCCGAGGCCTGCTTGTGGGCATCGTGGCTGTCTTGCCCTCGCTGGCAGCCGCCTATGCAAACACCAGCTACAACGTCGATCTTCTGCGAGCGCAGTTCGCGCTTATGGACGACCGCCCCAAGGACTGTCCGCCATGGTAAGAGACGCATCGCAAGCCGGCTCCCCATCGCGGCGACATCGCTGCTGACGCATCTTCTATTAGCTTCAACTGCCTCCTGCCTGCACACACTTGCGCTCAGTACGCGGGATGCAACGAGTACAACGGAAAATGCGACTGTCCCGATGGTTTCGGCGGTGACGACTGTCTCGAACCCTGTACGTCTCCATCGTCGGCTTGATGCTACCAAGGCATTTGGCACCGCCGTAGTAATTCGCGCGTTCGATTTATGCTAACGTTCGATTTCTCTCTTCTTCAGTGTGCGGCTCCCTTGGACGCGGCAAAGACCGGCCCATGCGCTCAAACGCGAGTTGCGAATGCGACGAGGGCTGGACCGGTATCAACTGCAATGTCTGCACATCTAACAATGCCTGCAATGCTCTCATGGAAACTGGAAGCGGCGGTGTCTGCTACCAGAATGGAGAGCTTGTCAAATACAACAACCAAATCTGCAAAGTCACCAACCGAAAGATTACCGATCTGCTCGGAAGTCAGAAGCCACAAGTAACCTTCACGTGCAAGGAGGATGATGCGACTTGCGATTTCCAATGTTAGTTCTATCTGCCCCCAATCTCTACTTACAACACAATGCTGACTACTCTCTCTAGTCTGGGTCGACCAAGTTGAGTCCTTTTACTGCCACTTGTCGGATTGCACGTCTGGTGCTCAGTATTCCGATGCGAAGAACACCACTGCCTACAAATGCGACCACATCAGCTGCAGCTGCATTCCCGGCCGTATGATGTGCGGTAAAGATGGCTCTCTCGATCTTACCGACTTTTTGGACCAAGCAATCAAAGGCCCCGGCCGATTCGAATGTTCGCAAAAGGGCGGCGGTGCCCATGACTGTGCCTTTAAAGAGCCTGAAATGGATAACCTCATCGTCAGTCTGATCGGAGATTCCAGTATCCTCCTGGACTGCCAAGCAGGCGAGTGCTTGTATGAGACCGAGGTGCCGGGTTATCACCGCCCGGTCAAGCAAATCAACACTCCTCTCATCGCCGGCGTGATTGGCGGCTGTGCACTCTTCCTGGCTGCCGTCATCATCGCAACGTGGTATTTGTCTCGTCGCAGATTGCATTATGGAGCGATTCGCTTGGAGGATTCTGACGATGAGAACACCAAGCTCATGGTCGATCACAAGCCAGCTGCACTATACTTTCAAAACGTCGCCTACTCCCTCAACGGGAAGAATATTCTGACTGGAATCCAAGGTATTTGCCAACCCGGCGAAGTAACTGCCATCATGGGATCCTCTGGTGCTGGCAAGACGACGTTCCTGGATATTCTTGCTCGAAAGAATAAGCGCGGTCATGTTAGCGGAGACTTCTACGTCAATGGCGAAAAAGTCGGCGATACCGAGTACAAGAACGTGGTTGGATTTGTTGATCAAGAGGACACCATGTTGCCTACTCTTACCGTTCATGAAACTATTCTCAACAGCGCCCTCCTGAGACTTCCCCGCGATATGGGCCGTGCCGCCAAAGAACAGAGAGTTACGGAAGTCGAGAAAGAGCTGGGCATCCATCATATTCGAGACTCCCTGATCGGCTCTGAAGAAGGGAATGGCCGTGGAATCTCTGGTGGTGAGAAGCGGCGTGTCGGGATTGCTTGCGAGCTGGTCACCAGCCCCTCTATCCTCTTCCTCGACGAGCCCACCAGTGGACTGGATGCCTACAATGCGTACAATGTCATCGAATGCCTCGTGACCATGGCCAAAAACTACAAGCGAACCGTCATCTTCACCATTCACCAGCCTCGCTCCAACATTGTCGCTCTTTTCGACAGGCTCATCTTGCTGGCTCAGGGCAAATTGGTTTATTCCGGACTCTTCGCGCAGTGCCAGGCTTATTTTGATGAAATTGGCTACGAATGTCCTCCAGGCTTCAATATTGCCGACTACCTTGTAGACCTCACTAACCACGCGGGTAGCACGCAGACTTTGGATGATGGAGGCATTGTTCCTGACGCTGGAAGCATTGGTCCGAGCAGCACCCGGGCTGTCAAGTCTATTGCGAGCGCCTCTCTCGTAAGTGCTGGCGAAGCGAGCGCCGAACCATCATTGCGGCCCAAGAACCGACGTCGCGATTCCGTCAAAGTACGACAAGAACGGGAGCTCTTCACGCGTAGAAAACAGACCGACACTGCCGCATCTTCAGATGCAGGTGGCGACAACCAAAGTGGCTATCGGCTGCAGAATAACCCTTCAAGTTCCTTGCCTAGCCAACAACTGGAAGACCCTCACGATCTACCCCCTCCAGCCCTGACAGGAACCGATCTCGACATCATCACTCGATCTTTCAGCAAATCATACATCGCGACTTCTATTCGCGAAGACGTTCAGCAAGCAATCAGAGAAGCTGAAATTGCAAACGGATCTAGATCTAACACCAATGGATATGCTGCAGATGGGCCGAACATTTATACAAGCGCTGTTGGAAAGGGATATGCTCGAATTGGATATTTGCGCCAGTTCATCATCATCTCTGGAAGAACTTGGAAGAACCTGTACCGGAACCCGATGCTCATGCTCACACACTATGCGATTGCCATCATCTTGGCCGTGTTTTCTGGATACCTGTTTTATGGCCTCACCGATGACATCCCTGGTTTCCAAAACCGACTTGGCTTGTTCTTCTTCCTTCTGGCTCTCTTTGGCTTCAGTACCCTTACCAGTCTCAATGTGTTTGCCAGCGAGCGACTTCTCTTCACTAGAGAAAGAGCCAATGGGTACTATTCCCCAGCTACTTACTTTGCGGCCAAGGTTCTGTTCGACATTATTCCTCTGAGAATCATCCCTCCGATCCTCATGGGGTCCATTATCTACCCGATGACAGGCCTGGTACCCGATGCTGCGCATTTCTTCAAGTTTATGCTGGTTTTGGTTTTGTTCAACCTCGCAGCTGCTGCCATTTGCTTGTTCATTGGCATCGTCTGTAAAGACGGTGGCGTGGCCAACTTGATCGGTAGTTTGGTGATGCTGTTTAGTCTCCTTTTCGCTGGCTTCCTCCTCAACCATGACGCCACGCCCAAGGGTGCTTTGTGGCTCCAGACATTGTCCATCTTCCACTACGGCTTTGAGTCACTCATCGTCAACGAAGTAATAGAGCTCACCCTGGTAGACAAGAAGTATGGTCTCGATATCACCGTTCCCGGAGCGGCCATTCTCAGCTCATTTGGATTTCAAAATGCTGCTCTTTGGTCCGACATCCGAAACCTGGGTATCTTCGCTGCCGCTTTCATCGTTCTCGCCTACGCCGCGATGCATATCTTGCTCATCGAGAAGCGATAGACTAGCCGCCTAGAATCTATCCGCAACTCGAAGAAACATTTTTGTGCAGGGTGCGACATGTACATACTCATATCAGGCAAACTCCCTGGACATTTGCACAACCGGCGTTTATGGAGCACAACTGTTTAAACCGCTTCACTGTTTCATGTGGTATTTTATGGCTATAGTTTTGGATATTGGTGTAGTAATATGGTTGGTCTCAATAAACACCAATATTTCTTGTCGCCCGAATTTAGATGTTGGGGAAATTTTTTGATTGATGTGGCTTGAATTCGTGAAGCGTGAATATGATTTTTCCGAGTGATACTGATATAATACATGTAGTGCGCAGTACGAGCGCATGATATTCTACAGTTTTACAAAAACAAAAGGCCCCATGCCGCTACTCCATCTTTCCTCCCGTAAACTCCTCAGCAATCCTCTTTTGCCGCTTAACGGAGCGATCGTATTCAGACTCGTAGTAATCCATAAGCTTGGTTGATTTGCCAGTGGTGGTCTCCAGCATGTTGGCGATGGAAGGAGGCTTGCCGTAGATGCCCCAAGAGTTCTCGGTTGTACCGTAGCGCTGGAAGAATTGGCTCTGTTTCCTGAAGTAGTCCTCGCTGAATATCTCATCAATCTCGGCCTTGAGCTCGCTCTCCTGGACGATGAAGTTGGAGGCATTGATGTACAGCTCCATCAGGGCATCTCGTCGGGCTTCGTATTTGGCCTTTTCCTTGGCCTGAACCTTGAACTTGCTGCGCTGCGCTCGGGCGAAGCGCTCAGGGTCTGGGTATACTTGAGTGTCCAGAATGGCATCCAGGACGGTGCTTCGTGTGAGTCGGTCGTCCTCTCGTTCTGGCGCGGCAGCAGCCTCGTTGTGCTCCTTGAATTTACGGCTGACACGGGCATTCCTGGCTGCGTCACTCTTTTCGCGCCGTGTATAGAGGGCCTTGAGACCTTGTTCCAGATTGGTCCTTCGGGTCTCGGCCATTTCCCGCTTCCATCGTTGGGACTCGTTTGAAGGCTCTCGCTCGCTGGCCGATCTGGGGGCAGTCTTCTGGATGTACTCGGGCTGGATCTTGCGGTCGCCCTCTGACCGAGGGAAAACTTGCCGCGGCACTGGCAGTGAGCCTCTTACTCGCGGAGGTTTGGCTTCATCGGTTTGGGACTGAGGAGGGGAAGGAAGTCGGATGTAGGAGGGGGATTGAGGCGGGACGGCGTTGGAGAGAATGGCCGGAGTTGTTGAGAAGCTTCGTGAAGCAGACGACAATTGCCGAACTGCTGGCCTGAGGCAGTTGCTTGCAGAATGGAGCGACATCCTGACCCTGAAGTGAGCTTGGCAATTGGCCCTTGTTGCTCTTCCAAAGGTTGGTTGTGTGATGTCGACTTACAGAAAATTGCCAAACCCGCAGAGCGAACCCGGATTATCTGGCCCCGACGTTCCGCGCAACCCCTGTCCTGCTTACATAAGTCGACCAGCCATCGTCTACAGAGATGTGGGCTAGTGGGGTCTTTCGAAAAAAAAAAAAAGTTGGTGATAAGAAGCTGCTGCTGCAATTTTAATCTTTTTCTGCTCTTCTTTACTTCTTCCCAAGATCTTTGTGCTTGCTAGCAAGCCCAAAACTTCACCATGGGTACCGGGAAGAAGGAAGCAGCCCGGCGTACGCGCCAGGGCAAAACCGGCGATGGCATGGGAAATGTGCGCGTCAAGGGCGAGAACTTTTATCGGTATGTGCTCTGGATGAAGATTTTTTTTTGGTGTCGAAGCATGCTAACAAAGATGCGTGAAGCGATGCGAAAAAGGTGAAGCTCGTCAACATGTACAAGGATGGCAAGGCCCAGAGAGATGCGGACGGGAAAATCACAAAGGCTGCCAGCTTTCAGTCAAGAGATATCCCCAATGCCCGGATCGAGCCAAACCGCAAGTGGTTTACCAATACTCGTGTTGTCTCTCAGGATTCCCTCACAGCCTTCCGTGAGGCTATGGCTGAAAAAGCCAAGGATCCCTACCAGGTCCTCCTCAAGACGAATAAGCTCCCCATGAGCCTTATCCACGACGGAGGAAAGGACACCACCAACGGTGTCAAGCAGCACAAGGCCAAGATGACCATTGAGACCTCGCCGTTTGCTGGCGTCTTTGGACCCAAGGCTCAGCGCAAGCGTGTCAAGCTCGGCGTCAGCACCGTGTCTGACCTCGCTGACGACACTGAGAAGAGCATGGATACCTATGAAGAGCGCATGGAGCATAACAAGCTCCTGAGTGGAAACTATGGCAATGACGGCGAGACCGATGCGCCGCTCACCATGGCCATCGAGCCTGTGTTCGACAAGGGCCAGAGCAAACGTATCTGGAACGAGCTTTACAAGGTCATTGACTCCTCAGATGTCGTCATCCACGTGCTTGATGCTAGAGATCCCGTCGGAACTCGATGCCGAAGTGTCGAGAAATATCTGAAAGACGAGGCACCTCACAAGCACTTGATCTTTGTCCTCAACAAGTGTGATTTGGTCCCTACCAGCGTTGCTGTAAGTAATTGGCTCCATCTTTTTCTTTCCTTTTCATGCCTATTTCCCCTTCCTGGCTTCGCGCCCCCAATGAATCCTGTCAGGACACCTCGCAAATTCTCAGTGGAGGACCGTCTGTTACAACATTGGGAGATCCATTGCCATCTCGACTGTCTCAGCTTCGGCTGCAGGCTGATAGGTGCCGTTTTGGTTACTTATCGAGAGAAGGCTGTGCGTCTGATGAGTTGAAGCCTTCCCTCGCCTTTACCGGCATCCAAAGGAGCTTCGTAGTGATGACACACACATTTCTTCATTCATTATTCCATTTCTTGTGCTTCAAACCTTGTTTGTAAATGTTCTCGTCTAACATGAGAATAGGCTGCCTGGGTGCGAGTTCTCTCCAAGGAATACCCAACACTTGCGTTCCACGCAAGCATCAACAACTCGTTTGGCAAGGGATCCCTGATCCAGCTGCTGCGACAATTCTCTGCTCTTCACACAGATAGGAAGCAGATTTCTGTCGGCTTGATTGGTGGCCCCAATACTGGAAAGTCTTCCATCATCAACACTCTGTCAAAGAAGAAGGTGTGCACCGTGGCGCCAATTCCTGGAGAAACCAAGGTGTGGCAATACGTCAGCTTAATGAAGCGCATCTATCTGATCGATTGCCCTGGTATTGTACCTCCCTCAGGCACAGACACGCCAACTGATCTTGTTTTACGAGGCGTCGTGCGAGTTGAGAAGGTGGAGCACCCTGAACAGTACATTGACGCCCTGTTGAGCCGAGTCAAGAAGCACCACATGGAGAAGACGTATGACGTCAAGGGATGGGAGAATGGAACCGAGCTTCTTGAGGTCCTTGCTCGCAAAGCAGGCCGTCTTCTCCGCGGAGGAGAGCCTGACCTGGATGGTGTGGCAAAGATGATGCTGAATGATTTCATGAGGGGCAGGATCCCCTGGTACACCCCAGCTCCCAAGTCAAGCGAAGATGGCGAGGAAGGCAGCAGCAACGTCAATGGCCGCGGCGGCAGGCTGGGTGAGATGCCTCGGAAGCGACCTGCTTCCGAGACATTGGATACCGCCGAAGCCGATGTTGAAGCCCCTGCAGACAAGTTAGAAGCAGATGAGTCATCTGCCAACGAAGAGTTTGAGGGGTTCGGCAGCGGCACCGATGAAGCTCTGTCGAGAAAGCCTTCGTTTGGTGCCACTAGTGGAGCACAAAGCGATGCTGACAATACCTCGGACGACGTTTTGTCTATTGGCGAGTCAAGCGGTGACGAGGGCCAAGGAGCGGCTCCCGTAGCCCAAATCTCAGCCAGAGCTGGCCGACCCAACAAGAGACAGCGACGCTGAAGAAGCGATGGGGCGGGATTATAATGATCCACACCAGGGAATGGCAGCCCTGCTCTCACGCAAGCTTGAGCAATCCAGTATGCATACTGCCCATGGAAGTTGGCCTTGTGCATATACCATGTCCGCTCCCAACAGCGTGCGGGCTTGATAGAGAAAGATATGCTAGCTTGGCGTCAAGGCACCACCAGCTGAGACGAGCTGTTAGCTAAGATCAACGCATCTTGGGATAGATTGCCTAGTGCAGCACAAAAAGACCCGCGGTATCCGGACTGGCCAATATCTCAAGCATATGGGCATTACCAGTCACGAATCTCGATCCCACATCAATCTCACTGGCACGATGCTTTTCATGTGGGCTTTGAGTAGCCCTGCCATGTGGAATTGGGGGGTATTGCACAGAACGGGAAAGCTGTAGCTGCCGGAGAGCAGGGATTTAGGCGATGTGTGTTACCCAAAGACGTCATTGGGAGGTGCCAAGCTCTGCCGAAGCAACATCTAGCTGCCTTTGCGAGGACGCTTAGATCGGGGGTATTGTGTATCGCGGTCCACTCTAGGAAGTCGGCCGATTCACAAGCACACCCTCTCGTCCAAACGGGCAATCTGCCATGAAAGAATCGTCAAAGTTGGGGCAACCCCGCAGGGGACCATGTCGATCCACCGTGATCGAGACTTTGCTCGGATGGACTGGAAAGTAAACAGAACTTCTTTTAGACCTGGGACTGCACTGTCTGACATGACATGAATTAGACCAGTTGAAACAATACCCCCTAATCAATTCGTGCTGCTATTTTGAATGGAACCATCGTGACCGTGTCTTTAGCCTCTCTTTGTGTGTCAATTCTTGGAATCGTTTCTTCCAAGCCTCGACTATGTAGGGGGGGATTTTTGTTCCACCTGCAGTGCGAATTGACTGTCTCGCACTGCAGAATAAGGAATTGCTTCAACAACCCGCTCACGAGTAACCATGACAGCTTTTGTACTCCGTAACTTGCGGCTTGTCGTAGCCAGATCAAGGTTGAACGAGAACCTTGTTCGACTTTCCCGGATGAGTCCGGATACGAGCTTTTTTTTTCTTTCTCTTTTCTACCTTGGCCCAAGATTCCTCCTCGTGCAACCAAACGCCTCCTCTTTTTTTTTTTTTTTTTTTTGCTAGCTGGACGCGGATCGCCGGTCAGCTGGCTAGGATGACGGCCGGTTGATTGAACCAGAGGTTTAGTGAAGGGCCTAATGGGGTTTCTAACCAGGGATCTGCCTGTCAGGATGTGTTGGAGCTTCGGCTGTTGTTTGGGTACACCGAGGGTTGGTATCTGGTAACTTGGGCGTGAAGTTGCTGGATGTTGGGCTTTGCCTCCTATGTGCTATCCGAAGATGCTGAGGCATTTGGATAACGGCGTTGGGATGCTGGTGTGATTTGCTGGTTGTTATCGTGGCGCATACAAAGTACATGAAATGTTTTACATGCCTGGTTGGTGTCCGGCTCAACGGGCTGTGTTGTCACAGACGTGTAAGACATTGTTGCCACCTCGAAGCCCTCAGGCCATTTTTTTGTTCGTCGGGGCATCCCTGGATTTGCCTAGTTTCTATATGCAGTCTTTCGGTGAAAGCCAGGCTTCTCCTTGCTTTTCTGGGGGGGCGAGAGGATTCTGGCTGGCTGGCCTGGTCTCCCACCCCCCCTCGTCTGCGGACGACGACGACGTGGTGCGTTGGCCCGTTTCTCGTATTCAGGAAGAGTGGTGAGGTCAATGGGTGATCTTTCAGTCTGCTTTGGGGAAAATATTCTTTCTGGTGTGCGTGTGTCCGGCTATGGGTGAGGTAAGAGGCATCGTGGAGTTGTGTGGCTTGGTGAGATTTCGGAGGGCTGGATGTAGATGGGGGACTTGGCACGGGAGTCTTCTCGTGATGTATATAATGATGGCTTTCTTCCTTCATTCTCATGTTTGTCTTCTCCCATTGCGAGGCATCTTATTCTATAAAGAACCAAGTCGACCTCCTTCTCAAAGGCGGGCAATTCATCTTTGTGAATAGCATCATCTGCCTTACAAGGCTACCCCGTATTCTCAACCTCACACGAGCAGGAGCAATCCATCCGCTCGCCATGTTATACCCTCTCCTTGCTCTTGGCCTCGGCGTGGCCGTTGCTGAAGCTGCCGTCGCGCGGACTTCTGGGTGCCAGTTACACTTTACGGCCTCAGGAGCCATCTCAGGCCCTGTTGGTGAGATTTCGTCTGGCCAGGTGCGAGCTGGTGGCGGTGTGAAGTCGACCACCTTCACTCTGCAGGGAGCCCAGCTGTGGGACGACAAGGGCCGTGGGTGCTGGTGGACTCGTGAGTTTTGATCCTTTGCCATGATGCTGGTGATTATATCAGAGACATGCATATGCACGTGTGACTGAATATGTCTCGGAATCGTGGTTTGCGTGCTGACGAATGGATGTGAGACAGCCCCAACCCACGTCCTCCAGTGCGACGAGAATCAGTCGCCAGACAATGGATTCAAGGTTGGCTGCGATGGCCGCGTCTCGTATAACGGACAGACGGAGTTCTGGGAGTGTCAGACCGGCGACAGTGGCCAGTATAACGTCTATCTCAACGGCGAACAAGGCGTCAACTGCAACAAGATTAGCCTCGATGCTGATAGCTGCCACTCTGAATGTCCTCCTCCTCCTCCGTCGCCGACGCCAACACCACCACCTCCTCCTCCAAAGTCTTGCCCGGCAAACCTCAACGGAGCTTATGAGTTCCCTCACCTCATCATCCCCGTGGACAAGACCAAGCCTGACAATGCCCCTGGAACGTCCTACTTTGGCGAGATCTCCGACAGCGTCTCTTCCATCTTCAACTTTGACATCCCCAGCGGCGACAAAGGCAAGAAGTGCAGCCTTGTGTTCCTCTTCCCTCAGCAAAAAGATCTCCAGACGTCGTCCTTTACCTTTTCTGGTTCAGGAGATCTGGACTTTGCCTGGCTGAACGGCCCTGCTAGTCAAGGTACCACGTGGAACAACCAGCCGGGCGAGAAGCAGGACTTTGGAACGACGACAGTTTCGCCTGGGAACGGCTATGTGATTTCTACGTTTGATTGCCCGGCTGGAGAGACTGTTGCGTTTGAGATTTCGGATGCAAACGGCGGAGGGACTTTGTTTAGGTACTTTCAGGATTATAACCCGTCGCCTATTGGATTGTACATTACGAAGTGCTAGAAGGAGAAGAGGATGTGGAACGTTGGATGAAGGGATATGCGGTTGAAGTAATTCTTGATATGGGCATTGGATGTGTTTGATGGTCATGGGTCATGGATATACGATGATATCACGAGTCACTCCCTAAATAAATGAGGATAATTTGTTCATTTGCTTGTTTTTATTGTACACGAAGTAACTCGGTAATTGAACTGGGATTAGTAGTGTGGCACACTTTGGTGTGGGTGAAGCTGTAAAGTGAAGTGAATGTCAACGTTGAACTGAAGCCGTTTGTGTGTGTGTGTGGGGGGGGGGGGGATTTGCTGCCCTGTATCCCGCATTCTACAACCAGTTCTACCTAGTAATAGTAGCAGATAAATGTGCGAGATTGTAGACATTAGTACTTACTCGAGCGCCAAGAAAGTCCGATGAATGTATTCTCGTCGAGCAATCGTGAACACGCTGGTTGGCCCGCAAGAGCCGCTCCCAAACCTTTTTACGACACAGAATAATATGCACACCTACGCAGCAATCACGCTCATATTACATTCATTTTGAAGCTTAAGATGGAGAAATGCTATCTAGATAATTTGTTTTATTGTAATGCCTTTTTTGCTCTTGGTAAGTGGGAGACAAAGTTCGGGCTTGAATGTTCTCACATGTAGTTCACTTTTACCTTGACATCGGACGAAACCCACTCAAAATGTAGAACAACTCACCTAGCGCTCACATTGGCCGTGATGGCATGGATTTACCGGTTCCCAAGATTTTTATATTAAATCTGCCTTCTGCCTCTTCTGAATCCATTTAACTTTTTCCTCTTACGCTTTGTTATCTTGTTCCGTGAGCATTCAAACAATCTCCAAGCTTCATCGACAGTACATCAGCATACCAGTACTCTTCCGCCTCTCTTCTTCCTTGCGTTGCAATTGAGCTATCGAGCATTCCTTTTGCAATTCGACGACTATGGATCTTGCACCCGATACAAAGGGCTTGGTACAATTCTGACCCTTTCCCCGAGATCGTTGAAGATGCACTTTGCTAACCATATTCCAGATCCAGCCGATGGGACAGACTCCTACTTCGATCAGCAATTTGCAACAAGACGTATTCAATCCGACTTTCAAGATAGAAGGCCTTGGTAATCTACCAGGAATGAATCAAGTTGGCCTAGAGAACCATTTGCAACTGCATGGGATGAACCCGACTACGTCTCCAACGAGCATTTTGCAGGCGCCTGGACCGGGTCAGGCTTTTGCTCTACCTGGCTATCAGAACCAGAATCCATTCAACGACAACTCAATGAGCTTTTTGCAATCTTTTGGACCAATTCATACTTCGAGCCCGGCCAATCTTTTGCAGCCGTTTGAGACGAACCAGACTCTCAACAACACAAACTTCTTGCAGTCGTCTGGGATGAACCAGATCCCCGACCAGACCAACTTTTTGCAGTCGCCAGAAATGAATCAGATCTTCAACCAGGCGGACCCGATGCCGCTGTATGGTATGAATTGGGGTATCAACGCGATGGGATACCAGCAGCAATTCGGAATGAACCCAAATCTTGGTTCAATGGGACATCAGCAGCTTCAGATGAGTCTGAACCAAGTCCCTACTGGAGTTTCGGCTGGACTTTTCGATAGTTCGACCGCGTTTGCAAGTGCGCCGTCTTGTATCAACTATCTTCCCACGCCGCCACCTACCAGTCCTGAGTCCTCGACGCCGTTCAGCATCAATCAGCACATGAGCCCCAACGTCGATGGGACCATGAACCAGTGGGTGAATACGAGTGTGGCCCTTCCTCAGGAATTCGCTCTTCCTGTTGGCAACAGCCTTCACAATTTAGCCATCGGTAGTGGCATCGGCATGAACATAGGCATGATTCCTTGTCAAGAGATGCATCTCCCTGCTCAAAACTGGCTTCCAGACTTCACAAACATGGGCATGAACGCGAATCTTCAGCATCCTCCTGTTTCCTCTGGCGTTCAAAACATGTCTACTGGAAGTGGCATGAACATGAATGTGAACTTCCTTCAGCAAACACGCTGCGCTGCTACCAAGGGCCTTCAGAAACCATCTGTTGGAAATGGCATCCCACGACAGTCACAGGCGCAACTTCCTAGAACTATTGCTATCAAACAAGCTTCACGCGAGGTCAAAAAAGCAAAGAACCAAGCTTTGGGTCCTCAGCATCCGGGTCCAACTCGGATCAAGAAGACGCTGAATGGCAATACTGCATCTAGCTTGGATAACCGTCTCACCAGATATGATCTTATTCGCAGAGTTACGCCCAACATGACAAACTTGGCTCCTACTATCTCGCCCAAGCTTAGGGCTGCTATGGATGCTGCTATCGCCAACGGCGCCAAAGCTGTTGCTCAGACTGCCATTCTGGGGTCGTCGACCGTCTCTCAGAACAGTTCTCAGAGTACTCAAGCGCCAGCTGAGCAGAAAGTCAAAGTGAAAATCGAGCCTCATCAACATGCAGCTTTTCGGGTAGCCCAACGTCCAACTCAACAAGTACCTCAGCCCCTGGCCCAGATGCCCCTTCAGCAATCAGCTCAACAAGCGATCCAGAATGCTGTTAGAAGAACAGTTCAACAGGCAACTCAGATGCCAAATCAACGGCCAGCGCAGAAGTTGCTTTCAAAGCCGATGATCTCGCCACCAGTTGAACAGCAAGCCCAACGGGAGCAGAGGCCAATTCAACAACCAGTTCAGCAGCCAGTCAGAGAGTCAATTGAACAGCAGCCGACGCAACAGACCGGATTCTACGGAACCCCCCCTGCTATCCCCTTGGATGATCTGCTTACCCTTCTCTCGGACAAACACTGGGAATTCTGGCACCGATTAGACGCGATTCAGATGCGCCAGCTCATGGCGCTCACTCTCACCGAGGCCGACATACATCAAGCTTGGCGACAACGTTTGTGTGTTCGCGTGAAATCCAATGACTTCGTCCGCGTCTACGAGCTTGGTGGCTTCCTGTATGAAGTGCACGGGAACCCTTCCGGTGGCTTCAAAGGAGCAATAGCTATTGATATGAGACAGTATGCCGGATTGCTGGCCCGTTTCCGCCCCAAGTGCTGCAATTCTCTCGATTATGCCCAGGCTCTGGCTGCGGCCAAGGCTCGGGCTGAGGGCAAGGATCAGCCTGAGTTTGATGATTTGGACCAGGCTCAGGCAATGTCTGATGGTGTGGTTCGATGTCTTGGTTTGCCCAGTTGGTGGGAGATTGCGCGTCTGCAGAAACAACGGGAAGAGAGGATCAAGGATCTCATTTTTAAGGGTGAGGTGGAGGGCAAGAAGACGAAGAAGTAGATTAGAGAGGAATTCTAGATTTCCATGGATAGAAGCATGGGTAATGATATCAGCTGCTACTATTGATCCATTTGCTCATCTTCTTCCAGTACACATTGTGCATGTGCATGTAATTATTATGTTGGGGAACCCGTGGACACCCTTCTTGAGCAGTATGGGCTATGGCTGCTACTTCTGGCATCTTGAGCTTTCGACAACAGTAGATTAAGTCGGGGATAATGCCTAGTATACACGTATTGTCTGTTGCTCTCTTTTACATCCAAAGTTTCTGTATGATCTTGTGAACACCAATTTGATGGATTCTCTTCTTGATGTCACTTGGGTAGGCCACTTACAAGAAATCTCTTTGTATCCAGGATATCAAGAGAACATCAATAGCGACAATCATCTTCCTCTCCCCGCAGATAAGACTCAAGATTCCGTCATTTTCCGGTTCCATATCATCTCCACTACATCACATATACATATCACAATAAATCACCAGCGTCTGTACAGAGTTATCAAAAAGGACCAATGCATGGATGGAATCGGTTCCGGCTCAATCCTCGCCCACCGTTTTGATGTTACAGGCGGTGGATCGCGCGTGGAGACGCCTAAAGGAACAACGTCACAGCGCGTCTTGGGGCCTGCCAGCGTGCGATTTAGCGGTCGCTTTTAGTGGGCCTTGCTGGACGGAAATGCCTCGCTCAAATTGAAGACTGAGGTTACATAATTCTGATGGCTGCCGCCAATCCCGCACTTGGATTTTCTTTTTTTTTTTTGACGTCTACAATTTCTTCAAGCAGGACATTGATGTCGTTATAACCCTTCCATTGTTCAATACAACCACTCGATTCTCTTCCTATATCTGCTCATAGTAGCAAAAACACACACACAGACAAACGTGAAAGCAAGAATGGGCGCTTCGTCGTCAAAAGCAGCAGCTCGCGGAGCAGCTCGCAAGTATCCCACCAGAGCTCCCGGAGCTGTGCCTCAAGCTACCACTATGAGGGCCCGACCTCAGCAGCCCGAGTCTCACGGTAACGGATCAAAAGATGATGGTAAGAAGATCAATGCTTGAGTGTTACACCCATCCGACTAATCGAGTCACCAGCTGTTCGCGCCAACGCCACAGATCCCGACTTCGCCCCTGCCGACTTCTCTCGACGCCTTCACCAGATGGGCATCGTGCAGCCAAATCCCACGCTCTCAAACTCTTCAACGGCGAACCCCAATCTCTCACCCGAATCATTGGACATTCCCCCAGGACCTTTATTCCCACCGGCCAAGCAAAACACCACGCTGTCGGTGCTCGAAGCACGGCGTCGCCTGGAGCAAATAGCCGCTGAAGACCTTGAAAACATGGGCCGTGACCAAGGCCGACGCCGCCAGGCTGACATGAGGACCATTGTTGATGCGGTACAGCTACTAAACAATGGATGGCCCATTGCAGATGTCGAGAAAAGGCTAAGGCTCAGCCCTGGATTATTGAGCAAACTTGGACCTGCCGGTGTTTTGACACACATTCCTGCAAATTAAAGATGCGCCAAGTCGACATTGCGATTGAGTGATTGAATTTTCTACCTATTCCCAACTCCAAACACGCACAAAGCAATCATGTATAAAAGAAACCTAGATATTACAGGAGGTGCTCCTCTATCCCTCTCGATACGCTCGCCAGGTTACGCCACAGCAAAATGGTCAACCGATTTTTATCTGCAGTCATGCTTCGACAATATCAACCGATGATGATGGAAATTGATTTGGATGATTACCAGGCGGCGTGTCCACCGTCAATGCGAAGGTCGCTGCCCGTCATGAAGCTGCTGGCGTCGCTGAGGAGGAAGACGGCGGCACCGCGGTACTCCTTGGGAACGCTGAATCGCTGAAGCATGTTCTCCTTGGGCCACTGCTCTTTTCGCTCGGGATAGTCGTCAAACAGATTCAGCAGCATCTGAGTCAGGATGTAGCCGGGAGAGAGGGTGTTAACACGAATGTTGTACGGGCCCCATTCAGCAGCCAAGCTCCGGGCCAACTGGATAACACCGGCCTTGGAGGCATTGTATGCTCTGTACGACGAATTGGTCAGATTCCTGAAGCACCAATGTTGGAAATTGGGGACCAGGGGACTTACGGGGCAAACATGCCGCGGTTGGCAATGGTACCGCTCATGCTAGCAATCATGCAGATGCTTCCGGGTTGCTTGAGCCGAACCATCTGGCGCGCGGCAGCTTGGGAGGTCATGAAGGCGCCCGAGACGTTGATGCTCATCATTCGGTCGACTTCATCAGGGGGGTAGTCGAGAGCTGGGGTCTCGTAGTTTATTCCGGCGGCGACAAGGCAGCCATCCAGGCGACCTCTCTCATCTGCAATGCCCTCAAAGATTTTGTTCAGCTCCGGCACGTTGCGAATATCGAGCTCGTGATAACTCAGGCTGGAGTTGAGCTCCTCCTTGGCACGCTTGGCAACGCGAGCGAACTCGGACTCGGGATCCGAAGTTGGATCGGGCAGTCTGTCAACGCAGTGCACTGAGATGGGCATATTGTTTAGCACAATGCAATGCTGATTGAGATGGCATGTAGCTTACCCACGGCACCTGCTTCAAGCAGCGCCTCGGCCTGGACAAGGCCCAATCCTCTTCCACCACCACTAATCACAACGACTTTGTCTTTCATGCTGAACTCGGCCAGCAAGTGAGGCCGAGTGGCGGGCTCCAGAGGAGGGGACTGGAGGACAGGCGAGGAATGCATTTTTCGACGAGCAGCGGTAACTAACAAGGCGCTACTACGGTTAGAGGCTGAGATGGCGAGGTGCTGTCTGGCGAGCAGTCTGAGAGCGGGAGCGAAGCGAGACATTACTTTATGGGTGGCGGCGACAAGAATTGAAAACAAAGCTTGTATGCTCAATGGATGCTGAGCAGATACTCAAAGACTTTGGATTGGCTATGTGAAGCTGAGGAGCTAGACAAGCTTGTTGAGATGGGATGAGATGGGATGAGAAAAACTTGGAAGAGGGCGCGGATGGGAATTGGGTTTTAAGCTCTACGAGGAGACAGGCACAGCTCATTGCAGCCGGGCCAGCTGCGGGGAAGGCTTTGTGGCGTGAGGGGGGATGGAGGTGACACTACGGCGAACTCACGATCAATACGCACATACAACATCACGACGACGGAAGAGTTGTGTGTGGCAAGCCGCGGGTCATCACGAGGGCATCAAAGCAGATTGAGGACGAGGTGGGGAGGGGAGTGGTGGTAGCAAGGGAACGGATGGGACCCGAGTACAACACAACCAATACTGCAAGAAAAGAACGAACGAATTGAGAGCTCTGAGGGAGCTTGAAAGGAGCTCAAGAGGTTGGACCGGGGAGGAGCTCCGGCTCCGGAAAGGGGGGGTGGCAGAGAGGAGGAGAGGAGAAGAAGAGTGAAGGCGTTTGAATGGGGAGGGGAGGGGGCATGGCAAGTCTCGTGGACAGAAATCAAATTGAAAGCCCCTCCATTTGTTCCCAGGCTGGAAATGCGAAGTCTGACATGATTGGAATTCACCCGGCAGAGCAATCTTTTTTTTTTTTTTTTTTTTTTTTTGGAGAAGCAAAGTTGCAGTCTGTTGCGGGCAGGTTGAGCTTGGAGTGCCACCTCGAGCTTCGGATTACCAGCGACGGTTAGCCGGCTTTTGAAAGGGTGGCGGCCCTGGCGCTTTTTCCCGGGGTCGATTTGTGGAGGAGCGAGGCACTAACCTCTGCCCGAAGACGCCACTTGCGATCCCCCACGGAGAGAGAGGGAGGGGAGAGGAGCTGACCGAACGAGGTATTAGCCGATGCATCTACTATTGATCCGCAATGGCCGAGGGAGAGATGCATGCAGGCACTTTCTCCGTAGTGCGTGTGTGATGTTTTTGTAGCAGACGCTTACTGAAGGGTGATTGTGAATGAAGAAGGGATGGAAGAAAAGACTGGATATGGAGATGGATAGACGGCGAGTATTCTCGATCTGCGAAGCATCCTCTCATTTTTGATCAATGGATGGTCCAATACGACAGTCCCATGACCTTGGAACAGGGTAAAGCTTGGCATGATTGGGCTTTCCATTGATGGCAACGATCGTCCATGGGTCATATGCAGGACCTGAGTGTATTGTCGCCATTCGATCGAGATGAGATACTCTGAATTGGATAAACTGGCATTTCAGACCCGTAATACCTAGGTAAACAGATGAAGCTTCGATTTCTATGATCCATTGAGATGCCGTGGTCACATTACTTGACTCGATGCAGGTTTGCCTAGCACAGACTCCAAGAGGAGAAAGAGTGCTCGTACGAACACACACTCCTTTCCAGCTCTCAGAAAGCAATATCCCGTCGGCAGCCCATATTAAGAGTACAGCGCTCCGCAATCGGTAGCCTATCTAGGTACCCATAACAAGCGAATGTGAAGGGGATTATCAAGCTTCCTACCTGCAAGCTCAACACGAGCTGCACGACCCTGGAACCGTAAACAGTGGATCGCGGCTAGGCAAGCAGCTGTTATTTCTCCGTTCTAGAACCGGATCTTTGGAGTTGGGAGAATTGCAGGGGGGCCTAAATAAAGAAGCAGCTTCACGGCGATGAACCAGGAGGGATGCATTGGGCTGTGTAAAAGTGAAAAAGTACGAGGCTAGATGAGATGGCGCTTGATGGAGCCGGCGCTGACTGGGTTACCTGAATAGGAAATTTTCAGGGTCCACGATGGTGTCTTGGGGGTGTGGGAGGAGGAGGAGGAATGGGTGGAAGAGTGGTTTTCTTTGTGTAGGGAGGTGGTCTAGAATTGTGATGAATTGACGGGATTGAACAGTATTTTTTTTTATTCTTTTTTTAATTTTTTTTTAATTGATCAATTGACTCGTGTAGTGGCCTGTGTTTTCTGATTTTGCAAGGCGGTCGCTTTGTCGAACGGCAAATATAAGAGGCTGAGATGGAGTCAGTGGCGCCGGCAGCCTTTGGACAGGCTCGGGTGAACGACTTGGGCTAGCCTGGATTACATAACCTTGAGCCTCGGGAAATGTTTGTTTGCTTTCTTGTTGAGGTCGATGTTGATCGAATTCGAATTGCTCTTTGCTCTCTCTGATCATTCTGTATTCTTTTCTCTCAATCCCAAGATCAATTGATCGCAAGCCACTGGAGGCCCGCCGTGCCAAGCCTGCGAATACAACCGCGAGAGAGTTCAATCAAGTCAAAATACCATGCTTAATTCGAACCGAGCAGTGATTTTCGGCGCTTGCAACCTTGTTCAACACCTCCTCCAGCCCTTTTCCCCGCATCGAGATGTGCCGATCCCCGGTGTTTGATTTGATCCCAAGTGTGAACAATTGCGTTCGTTCCGCATCATTGCCATTGTTTTTTGTTTCATCGGCTGCATCATAGATGGATGTATGAAAGAGGTTGGCTTGCAGTTTTATTTTCCATGCATCTGACTGGATGAAAAACAAATTTGGGACCTGATGTTACGCAGCCACCGGTTAAAAGGGTAATGTGTGCCATATTCACCAACACAACGAAACTCAACCTGCGATGCCTCAAAATCTCGGATTACAGAGTCAAAAAAACAGCAAAAAAAGAAGATTCAACATACAACAGCCGGTGTTCGCTGATGGTCACCCACTCAACTACTAATCTGCCTCTCATTGGCTTGACTCTGGGGGAGCAGACGGGACCCCGTATTTTCCAATGGATATGGTCGTATGTACTAGACCACCACCAACTTGGCGTTAAACGTCTGCTTGCAAAACAACAACCAGAGCTCCTACAGGCTGTTATAACTTAAGGAATTGCGCTCGGAACGGACTTGGTTACTCGCTGGCTTACAATCGATTTTCTTTTAATGTTTCTTAAGCTAACCCTACTCCTCCTTCCTCTTCAAAAATCATGGCTTACATTGTGTAAGAGAAATGTCTTATACTCCTTTCCAAGATGCTCCGGAAGTACCATGTCATAGCTAACGCCAACCGATCGTAGTCGCTCGAAAACATCATCGACCTGGGAAGGGTTTTTCATCAACACCATCCTAAGAAACTTGTCGTTATTTGGGTTGAGAGACGTCGATGTTGAGAGCTTCACGTTGGCACGGCTGGTGATGTAGAAGTCGAGTAACTCTACTCCTGAAAAAGAGGCCTGTGGTTGAACACCTGGCGGTATGGAGACTAGATATTTGAAGCCGCCGGATGGAGTATGGATCTTTTCTTCCGGCCAACCCAGACTTCTCCAGCCCTCCTTTGTTTTCTTCAAGATTGTCGTAACGTGAACGTTGATATCTTCCTTCCCATCTCCCTTGCAAAAACTTTCCAAGGCAGCCTGTGCCGCGGCCTGACAAACATCAGGGATCATGACTGCGAATGTAGAATTGTGTATTCGAATGACGTTGATTGCATCGCTGTTGCCGGCAATAAACCCTATTCTCAATCCCGGTAGGCCAAACTCCTTGCTAATTGACATGACTGTGACGCAGCAGTCAATAGCCCCGGGAACCTCCAAAATGTTGTGGAGTCTGCCAGGTCTCTGGTGATGAGTGTACCACGAGTCCATATCATGAACATTGGTCAATCTGTCCGCCAGTAATCGTGGTATTCCGTCTGATACCCGCTTGCTCAGCCAGAATCAGCATTACGCAGCGAAGTTGACGGATTGCCGCTCTTGGAGAATCTCTCATAAGGTCATTACAGTGCCCCTGGAGGAGGGATGCAACTTCTCGTAATACTCCCTCATTCTCTGGAACAGTATCCAGAGCAAGCCGCACATACTCTGCGCGCATGCTGTGGTCTCTATCGGTGACGTGGTAGTCGGGCTTATTACATGTAGTCATTGTCACACCCACCTCTCGGCCTGGGAATGAAATCTGGATTGCTTCCTCATCAATGGGGCCTGCCGCCTTTGAAATCGCTCGAATCATACTCTCTATGTGGAACATGGCCTCTATGTGGCGTTTTTAGCAGCACAATCAAGGGCCATGCCCATTCTTTCAGCAAGGAATTTCACCCCCTCTTTAGATGCTTGCAGACGGTGCCGTCGTTCCGTGACCAAGTCAATGCCGATGCCCTCGATCACTAATTGTCCTAGAGCGGAGGTAAAGCGCGGCTTGAACTGATGGCTGGGAATATTAAAATAATCGAGTAGCTGAGCTAAGTGGCGGATGACTGGTATTTGCTGCCCAAATAAAAGGCTTTGGGTATTCCGGGCGGTAGGGGAATATAGGATAGCGGCTAACTGCGCGTCCAAGGCACCCTTAATATCTGAGTCGGCGGAGTCACCTATCATATATGTGTCGAGAGAAGCGTTAAGCTGTTTGATAGCATATTGGAAGATGCGGCGATCAGGCTTTCGATAACCAGTTTCTTCAGAAGTAATAATGCGATCGATTAGATGTAGTATGCCTATGGCCTTGGCCTTGGCCGCCTGGTCTTTGATCTGCCCGTTGGTGATGATGGCAATGCGATATCCGTGTTCACGCAGTCGGGCTAGAGCCTCAATAGTTCCTGGCGTTGCTCTCCGGTTCTCCCGGTAAACTGCCTTATACGCGTCGCGGAACTCTTGAACTTGGTCTAGACTGGGTTCGGGCAAGCCAAGCGATGTAAAAAAGAGGTAAATCTTCTGGATATCGGCCTCTTCATATGTAATTACCTTATCCAGGTAAGCATCATAGGATTCTTGAAGAGCAAGGTTGTACTGGTTAATCAATTCTTCAACATTGATTCCCGCGAGGCCGGTATACTTTCTCTGCATGGCAGATATCGCAAGGCGTAGCGAGTGGTAGTGGTCGAAAAGCGTGCCATCCAGATCAAAAAAGACCACCTTGATTTGTGTTGGTTCCATGGCGATTTCCTCGTTGCACCGTGGATATGATATGGTGCTGAATGTGGAATGTTGGAGCTGGGACTACAGACAAGGCAAGCGAAACGAATCAAGCGCGATTGCCCATGGGGCTTGATATGGTATAAATGCAAAAAGGGGTTTGGTTGAGAGTATCTCCATCGATATGCGGCTTTTAAACCTTTTCAGAGCAGGCGCATCTTTTGTGTTTGTTGGTCGGAACTTTAGCATCTAGCCAACTTAGAGACCAACAGGAACCTTGTAAGCCGAGGACTGCATCCGTACAGTGTACAGAGAGTCCATGTATATTGTAACCTTGGTTGAATACCTGTATTAGTCCCGCCTGAGAATGAAGTATCCTATCCAATCGCCAAGGTTCCTCTCCGAGGCTCGGCCCGAACCTATCTCGTAACTACATACGGCTTGTTCAGCTGACGAGCGACATGCTACTGTATGTACGCCTTTCTCCGAATGCAACCGGTCAGAGGCAAGTGTCCACAAAATGGCCAAGTACACACCTATCAGGAAGTGGAATCTCACCGCACGAGCATTATTGCCCACCAAGATGTGACTTGCGGCATGACGCGCACATGTTATGAATTCAACTGAGTAAAAGTGTAACCTTGACTGAGATAGAACTAATTAACTTGGCTAATAAGATGAGATAATCTCAGGGTTTAGGAAATTTAATAACTTACTCAGCTAGCTGGATGTTAAAAACCTTTTAATATAACGACGGTAGCGGCCATGTACAAAATGCACCTTAGGAGAGATGGTATGCTGGAGTAGGGGAATTGCCTGAGTGCCTCTGGTGACCATTCTGGCCCCTGTCCTTGTCTAGAAGAGCTTGTGGTCTTGATCTTTTCTTATAACCGTGCTTGTAGAGAGCCATCGTCAGTGAATTCAATCAGCAACGGGGCTGTCTGGCGCTTGTTGTTGTGTTCAGAGTCAGCCGGCGGATCAACAAGGCTGGAGTTCATTGCGCCGCACATTTTACCATGGGTTTGGAGCCAATGTATGTCTATTTTAAATGGCATATAAAAGCGAGGGATGACGATGATAAAGACGCCTTTATTTTTTAGGCTCTCCTCCTTATACACCTACTCGTCATTGGCGCGAAGGGATGCCAAAAATACAAGACACTAGACTCAAGAGAAGTGCTTGACGGGACCCCGTATTTTCCAATGGATATGGTCGTATGTGCTTGATTGTCAAGTTGGTCACTTTATAAGTCCCCCATGAGAAGACACACAGAAAGGGCAAAAAAAAACATACAACAGCCGGTGTTCGCTAATGGTCACCTCGGCGACTAATCTGCCTCTCATTGGTACAGAGTCTTCCTGTAACCTATTCCTATTTGAACCGTAATGTTCCCTGCCACAAGCTATATTTACCCCCGTCTTCGCAATTGCGACACACACCAGAATGCAGTACTACACACTGGCAAGATGAAGCCAAAGATAAAGCCAAAGACGAGGCCGTTGACTAAACCGTACCTGAAATATTGAGTACTGCTTCCAGGGCCACAAGGTCATCATCGCCCGGCTGCGTGGCCGGAATAATTTTAATACAGTCATCAGCTTCGTCTTGCGCTTCCTCTTACGCTTCAACGGCTTCAACGGCTTCGTCTTCAGCTTCGTCAACGGCTTCATCAGCGGCCTTGCCAATAGCAGCAGCAATTACTACAAGAATTTATTTTAGTAGATCGAAGCTTTCGTACAAATATAATAGAACTTTTCCAATGCCCTAAAGCACGCCAAATACCCAACCCAACCCATCACATCACATTGCATCGCATTGCACCACATTATCATTGCCACTTCTATTGCTGGACGACATCTAAGTGGTATGAGCGGATAATACTGTCGGTATCGTCGATGGCCAGGGGTCGGATATCGGCCATCTGCTTGATCTTGGCCGTCACCTCCTTGACCTGCTCGTCGGTCATCTTAAGGCCAAGCTGCTCCACACGAGACTTGACGGCGTTCCATCCCGTAATTCTTGAATTAATCGAGACGTATCGTGTAAGTCCAAACAAGCTGGGATCGATTATTTCGTATGTTGAAGGGTTCGCGAGAATGGCCTTGGCGTGAATGCCCGCCTTGTGCGTAAACGCCTACATCTCTAGTTAGCTGACAAGGTCTGAAGACGGTGATTCAAGGTAAACGAACGCAGAAGCCGGTAATGGGATTGTTGAAAGGAATGTTGATTTGTACGGCATCCGCAACCAACTCTTCCAGGCTCTTGAGGGCCTTGAGGTTGTACTTCTTGGTAACATATTCGGGAGCAGTCACAACCATGCGGGCCATGAGGGCACCAAGCGGGGTGATGCCGTTACGCTCGCCAATTCCTGTGGGTTTGTCAGCTATTGCGCCACAAGGTGAGGGAGACCTGCATAGATCCCAAGACAGCCTCTGACTTACCGAGAACTGAGGTATCGATATGACTTGCCCCTGCCTCCAAGGCTGACAAGGCATTGGCAACAGAGCAACCAGTATCGTCGTGGAAATGGCATTCAATGTCGCAGCCTACCACCCCCCTCAAAGTGCGAACCAAGTCATATGTCATTCTAGGGGTCGCGCCTCCGACGGTGTCTGCAACACCCACACGATTGACTCCGGCCCTGTCGACGGCCTTGTACAGGGCAAGGATATCAACGAGATCCGAACGGAACGAGTCCTCGGAGGAGAACCGGACTTCGACACCCTGGCTCTTGACGTATTCGATGACTTCGAGAGCAATCTTCTGGATCATCTCCATGCTCTTTCCGTGGCTGTACTCACGGAGGAAGCTTGAAGTTCCGATAACCTAAGATACGATGAGCACTTGGACAGGGAGATGATGGGAAGAGACGCACGAGATCAACACCATCGACACCGCATTCTACAGCCTTGCGGGCGTCGTCCACTATTTGACTTGTCAGAGTTGTCTTGGAAATGTGTTGATGTTGAAGAAGAGTAGAAGAAGGGGGGGGGGGGGGGGCTCCTCCAACTACCGGACTACCGCAAGCTTTTCAACTCTGCCTGTATATACTTTCGAGTCTGTTTTCACCGAAAAGAGACCTGATCGAGGTCTCGTTGCTGCATAAAACTCTTCGGGACTCGGAACAGTGTTACGAAAGCATCGATATGACAAGAGGTGTCCACAGGCAGAATCGAACAATTTGAGGTAATCCGGAGTGAGGTCGTAAAATTCGAGGGACGTACTGTTACATCGGACATGTGTCAAGACCTTGGCCTAAGAGATCATTAGTACCGACACCAAATCCGGCACGAGAAATGGTATCAACACCAACCTTCAATCCAAGCTGGCAAATCCGCTTGCAGTCTTCATACGATTGCGGCGACGAAACCGGGGACGTAACCTCAATGTAGTCACATCCGAAGTTGTCTATAACTCGTCAGCAATCCACTGGTCTTTGTCCGGACCGATTTGCGTACCCAGGGCCTTGGCAATCTTGAGCTTGGTCTCGGTGTCGAAGAAGGCGTTGGCAAACTGCTCGCCTTCACGAAGCGTACTCTCAATGATCTTGAAACTGTTGACATTCGAGAGATAGTCCTGAACGGACTGGTATGGAGAGCTCTTGGGTAGTCCTTGGGCAGGGTAGACTCCGTTCGCGGTGGATTGGGAGGGAGGGTTGGCGGCAGCCGCGGGGGCCCCTCCGTTCGTGTCGCCGTTGCAAGTGCCGCACATGATGGGCTTTTGAGGGTTCAATTGACCGTGAGGGAACAAGACAAAACGGGTGATTGGCAGGTGAATCGTAGGCTTTGCGCTGAAATCGTTTGGTTTCGTTTCGTGGTGATGGTGTTGGCAAGAGTTTTTGTGTACAAAGTTTTCCCGCGGTTACGGAGTGGTGGTTGAGTCAATGAATTGTGGAGGTGTTAGTCAGCCTATGCGACCCCTCCAATGACGCTGCAAGGGACAGTCTGGGGACAAAAGTCTGCAAACGAAAAAAAAAATAATTACACAAAGTTTAGGAGGGGATGATCTATGCCAGCCACAATCCGCAGTTGCTGCAAAATTATATAATAGCGGCAAATCTTTGTAAACTATAGAATATCCATCAATTGTTATTGGATTTTAACTTTAATTATCTACATAAATATTTTGTAGATCTAATTATCACTTTTGAAAACTTTGACTTTTTGCGGTACTCAGTATGGCGTTTGCAGACTTTTGGCCCCATAACTGTACTAAGGCTACTCCGAGATCGGTACCTACGTAACGATTGGATGCGTCATTAGCGGGGTGGCCATTCATCCCATCTTTGAGTGCCACAAGGCACCACCCAAGTACCATGTCCACTTCTCTTCTATATTAAGGAGGGCATCTTCAATTTCTGACTCTTTGATTGGCTATAGCTTTGAAGAGTACTTAAGTGGTGCCCTGTGGCACTCAAAGGGATGGGATGAATGGCCATGTCCACTTTTCATCCACGCTGAAAAGCTACATTAAAGTACTTTATTAACCAGCAAAAAGAGCAGCACAATGCGGGCTAAATCGCGGGACTTCCATCATAGGCTAAGCATAGCGGGCACGATGCATCTTGATTTGGTGGGTTTAATGCCATCATCCCAGAAAGATACTTAAGTTGGACCATACGGCACTCCAAGGGATCAAACATGACCCCGTTATTCACAGGTAAGAAAGGGTACTACCTATACATAGGTACAGGTACCTAAAGCACAATGCCTACTAGGTACCTACACCACAAAAGGGTTCCATCTTAATCCTCTAAATTGATGTTAGCGTTTGGGTACCCCTTTGGGTAGATAGGTACATGTACCTGGGGCGCCAGGGGTTTTGGTAAGGGAGACTCTTGAAAAGCGCTATAGTCAGGGTACGACCGGTTGGTTATTGAATCTGATCTGTAATGGTTTTCTCCTCTGAAGTCAGTGCCTGTAAGTTACCAGCAAAAAAACTAGCTCTGGCCAAAAACGCCCCCGGGCCATAACTGAGGGGATTTCCATCTGAGTACCGGATAAGTTTCAAATAGAAACATTTCCCTTTTTTTTTAGAAATAAATTATTTTTATTCTCCTCAACATGAGATGTGCACCCACATTGAAAAGGTTACAGAAAAGCTTGCTTGGATTTGCTTCTTCCCAAGCTTCCACCCAAAGAATGGACTCTACTTCTAGGCTGTGGTTTTCTTTGGCAAAAATGAGTTGTGTATTTCACTACCACCATGTCTCACCATATACGACTACCAATCACCGCGACTACTACGATATCTCGCCTTCTCCCGTTGATAATGGTTCCTATCAGTTTGAGTGGCCCAGCTTTGCACTCCAAATGCGAAGTCACCGCAATAGCCGGATTCTTCGCCTTTGGCCAACATGAGGGTTTCGCCGAATGAGACGAGACTATTGTGACACTGCTACATCGGTCCCTTGAGCTGCTGCAAGACAAACCGCAGCATCGTACGACCCATTTCACAGCCATCCTATCGTACCCAAGCGGAGGAGATCAAATCATTGGGGGTCAAACCTCCAAGACTTCAACGTCAGGGTGACACAATCTCTCCATCACAGCCATCCTCGACATAGCTCGTCTTAACGTCCAATATTGTTACATACAGAGTGCAATCTTTTCCAAAACATCAACAACCTGTGCTCGAAAGGCTTGCTGCAGTTTTATATCTTCTTTTGTATCATTATAACATTGGAACTCGCTTCTCAAGCAAGTAAGAACGACGGCTTGGTACTTTTCGCCCATCTTCGCCCCCAGCCGCTTTTCTGCATGACGGATGAGAACTTTTGTAATCGCGTTTGGCTTTACCCGAGCAAACCCAGACTTCTCGAGAGTCAAGGCTGGCTGCCAGAGGCCTGCACGATGTTAATCCAGGCCCAACCGTACTAAAAGGGTACGCACCTATCTCAAGAAGGACAACGCCTAAAGCGTAGATGTCATGTAGCTTAATAAAAGGCTGCGTGGGACTCTGCTGGCGGTCCGGATGGCGGTAGACATCCCGGGCTAGGCATTTGTCTTCAAGTCCTGCAGAAAAGTACTGCTCGGGGCGACTGAATTCAAAGCCTAAAACCCAGGGCTCTGCCAAATCGATTCGAGGCACGAGTGTAGTGCTCTTCTCATGCTTTGGAAAGAAAACGATGTTTTCGCTTCTGAAACTCTCGTGGACCTGTTCGATATCAGATATGTGGACCATCACCCTGCGAAAAACACGCACCCATTTTACAAGCTGCAGTTGAGAAATACACCTAGAGAGCTTGGCTGCAAGCCAGAACTTCTGGCCGAGTGTCGGGGGCGGATCCTCGCTGGACAAGAGACCCAGCAAGCTCACAGGAGCCGGTTCGACCGCATCAGGAATGGCAAACATAAAGGCCACGCGGTTGTGCTGCGTTTGGGAGACCCAGCCCGTGCAGCATGGCGTTCGGAAGACGATTTCCTTGGGTTGGTGCAATAGGTTAGCCAAATTATCCACAAGATGGCGAGTCCTGCTGCTCATCTCGACAGAAACAGGCGACCCTTCCTGGTAAGCACGATATTCCACGAGCATCGGTTTGCCTTCCCACTCCAGGATCCCAAATCGATCCTCGACTCTCTTCACATTCTCGAGCTGCTGACGTAGATTGACATCTCTGATTTCGAGGCTTTCGGGCATCTCTTGAACCTGCGATGCCGCCATCTGGAGTTTGGCATCAATGTTGAAGCCCAGGATCTGAGAATTGCGGTCGTTTTCAAGCCGTTGAAGATGCTGCAAATCGACACCTATCGAAGTCCCAAGACACAAGAGCTTGATGCTTTCGTGTACCCGGCTGTTTAGCTCGCCAAACTCTCTGATAATGGACTCGAGCCGCTTCTTATCGAGAAGCGACCACCGCAGCCGTTGCAACGGTCTGAGATACTTAGATGACTCATCATTAGACGTCAGGGAAGTGGAACTGGAGGGCCCCGGGGGCTTCAGCATGAATCTGAAGCTGGAGAAAATTTTGTTGGATGGCGTTGAGCTGGATGGTTGCTCTGGTACCTTGACAATTTTGCTGTCTGCTGCCGCCTGTTGCCGTCGGTATAGGAGTTGGTATGCTTGGTCCAAGACAAGCACTGCCTCTTCGAGGAGGATATGTATCTGGTCTTGGACATCGGCGTCGAACTGCTCGAATAATGACTTTCCGCCGTAAGTCTGCGACAAGTGAGCACTTACACGAGCAGTTGACTAGCTGGGCGGACGCACGGTTGATGGCTCAAACAAGAGCATATTCAACGCTCTGGTCCTGTTATTTTCGTCCTTGACCTTGGACTCCAAAACCCTGCTATCCTGTCGAATGTTAGCCGGCCTTTGTTGACGCACTGTTTGGACAGGACTCGCCTCATCGAAGTCTCTGTAGTTTGCAACCAGTTCCGCGGTTGTTTCTCCCAATCTCCATAATTGGTCTAGAACTGAGATGGTCAGGCTGGCAATGCTGAAAGGATCCATGGTTTCTAGATTTCCAGATATACGGATGCGATGTTTCTGAGAAGAATATCGTCTCGCTATAGAGGTGGATGAAGTTCCATAACTGACGCGAAGGTGTGCTGAGGGCTCCGTCGTCGAGGCGGGGGTGCATGCATCAAATGGCGAGGCTGGCCAAACATATTGTTCCATGGCTGTATGTACATATACATGCATGGGTGCCTAAACGATGTGACCAGGAAGAGGCAAATTAAGGCTACAACTATGTGGTTGGCTGTTGATCATATTTGCCTTTAATCCTCCTCCTGACAACATATATTGTCTGAATACTGGATCGAGGGTTGCACATGCATGAGAATGGCGGACGACAACACTGGTGATGTAGTCTGCGGCAGAGTAAGTAGAAATCATCTCAATCGGTCCGATTCATCACTGACCTGATGCTACTCTGGCTAGGATGAGGCAGCCTCGGTCGCATCTACTGTCAGCTGGAACACTTTTCTATCGCGGACAAATATATCCAGCTTGGACTGCGCCTTGTTTTCTGAGCAGGAAATATCATCTCTTCATGGCCTCGATGATGTTATCCGAGCGGTTACTTCCCTGGGTCTTCGTCGGTATCGCTATGAAGAGATTGCTAGGGAGGAGAAGGTGGGCGAGGGGGAGACCTATCTCGTCGAACGCTGTGTTGTGGCAAATCAAGTTCTCGCCGTCAAGCACCTTAAGACGAACCGCCAATTAGACGATCAGACATCTCACCGACGGCTCAGAGCGGTAATTCTGGAGCTTCAGATCTTGAGACACCGACCTCTGCGGAACCATCCCAACTTTCCTTTTGCCTTCGGATACGGCTGGAACATGAATGGCGGCCAGGTTATACCTTACCTCCTCGTTCAATATGCACCAAAAGGAACGCTACGGCAATATGTAAAATCCATGTCGTCGTCAATCCCTCTTCGAGATTTGCAGATTCTTGCCGGCGATGTGGCCTCGGCTCTATCTGCTCTTCACACATGCGGTATTGTTCATGGTGATGTGAAGCTCGACAATGTCCTTGTCGTTCACTCCTGGGATCGGCCTGCTCAGGCTCTTGCAAAACTTACCGACTTTGGTCATGCGCTGGTTATAGACAACAAATCCAGCAAGCATGATGGCATAATGAGGTATGGTGGAACGTATATGTATAGGCTCCATTTCCTTTCTATCGTCTGCTCGAGGCTAAATGTGGATAGATACAATGCGCCAGAGGTTCACGACCAGGATACATTTCCTATTGACCGAGCCGCTATGCCACAGTGCGACGTCTGGGCGTTTGGCCTATTGGTCTGGGAGCTCTGCCTCCTAGGAGAAGATCATCTCTCCTATAGCATGAGGAAATGGCCAGAGGTGGAAGCGCAAATGACGATGCAGAGATTAAATCCGGCGGACGCGAGGCGATATGCTATGGCATCGGTGCCTAGACGGGTAGAGTATGTGTTTATCCGTGCAACCTTGCATTACACACTCCAAGAAGACCCTACGAAGCGGATGGCGCATCTAGATGCCCTCCCATTACTTACAGAATGGAAGTGAGTACTCCTTGGTTGATTTTGGTGTTCAAGAGTAAGTCTAGCTAACAATATGAGAGTGATGCTAGCATTAGTGGTCTCGAGTCAGAGCTCGCATTTCACCTCGATAGCCCGTCTCCTACATATGAAGTAAGATAACCGCTCATATCCAAGGTCTATGGGAAAACTAAAACATGGCAGATGTTTCGGCCCGAAAATGGCCGTGAGATTCCCTGGAAACATGAGGAGCAGATATTCCAGGCTCTCGAACGCACATACTCTAAAAGGCATGCGAAAGACAAAGCTTTGATGTCATGGCAGCTTGCTCTCTGCCACCATGTCGGCTTTGGTACGCCACGGAATCCGGCATCCGCTTGCCAATATGCCAAAATAGCCCAAGACCAAGGACACCCGGTTGCGGTAGCTTTTGCTACGCTACTGGATCTGGACTCTACGGGGCTGTCAGAACCCTACGTGACAAAGATCTCGAGACTTCTTCGGTCAACTATCCCACCTTATAGTCTACCCCCTGTGATACAGGCTTGCATTGACGGTGACTCGGAGATGCTCAAAAATCTCCTCTCTCGACAGGAAGATCCAAACTCCTCGACCATCGATGGGTGCACAATGTTCCATTGGTTCTTCATGCTAAAGGACCCAGAAGCCATGGCGAAGAGCTTGAGGTCTATGTTTGCGGGACAAGCCCCTCTTCACTCAGACTTACCATCCTCATGCCTAAGGAAGGCTCACGATCAATGGCCCCTACAGTTACTTGGGACCCCATTAGGGGCGGCAATCTCAGTCAACAGTCTACCTGCAGTTAAGGCTTTGATAACCCTTGGTGCAAATCCTTTATCCTACGTTTACCGCAAAGAGGACTTTCCGGTTGGGGATCTGAGAGTACAATGGACAGCACTTCATATGGCAGCCAAATACCACTGCAGCGAGATCCTTCATTATCTAATGTCATTAATGCCGAATACTTCCTTGCTAGCCCTCTCCCCTCTAGCATGTGCTCTGCCTTTCTCGACATCACTAGAGCGACTTGCTATGCATGGCGCTCAGCGACAAGTGGAGCTCGACAAAACTGTTGCCATCATTCACAAGGTCCAGAGTCTCCAGACGGCTCTTCTGAGCGGCATGACAGCATTCACACAGGCCATTGACTTCCAGGATTATGACGTGGTCGCTGCGCTTTTGCGTGCTGAGCCCAAGCTTGCGTCACGTCAACTGGCCTCAGTGGAGGACCCAACCGTGTTCAATCTTCCGATCCATCTAGCAGCGCAGCTCGCGGCCAGACGAGACGTTCCTGAAGCCTTGTCTATATTGCAACTAATCAACGACCACACCGAAGATCTCAATCCCGAAACAAAACCATCTCGCGATTATCTCGGCATGACTCCACTTCATCTCGCCGTCACAGGCCCTTCTAACCGCGCGGCTAACTGGATATTGGAACAACGGATTGGTTTGCTCGAAGTTGAGGACATTCTGGGGAGGACTGCGTTGCATTGCTGCGCATCTGAGGCCAATCTTGAACTTCTTCTCAGCAGAGGCAGCACCGTCATGCATACTGATAAGTATGGCATGAACACTCTCCACAGGGCATGCCTGCGAGGAGAGCTGGAGCTTGTCCGGGGTCTTCTGAAACACAAACAGCCTCTAGATTTGAAGAACAACAAGTACGGTACGCCCCTTCACTGCGCTGTAATCAATGGGTCTATTGACGTGGTCGTGGAACTGCTGGAAGCCGGTGCGCCAGTCAACGCGCAAGACAGTAAAGGAAACACCCCGGTTCATGTTGCTGTTCGTATGGGAAGATATACAATCCTGAGGAATTTGCTCAAAAGAGGAGGCAACCGCTTCATCCAAAATTTCAACGGAAGGAATCCGGAAAACCTGGCTTCTATTATCGGGGCCCCTCAAGGAGCCGCCGCACTCAGAATCCTACAGGGCGGCCAAAAACCGAATTCAGCAGATTACCTGTTCTCAGAGTCAGCTAATTTTGAGTTTCTTCCACATTGGTCGCATACAGATGAGGCTCTACCTCCAAAGGTTTCTTGCGACACCAATAATATCGCCCTCGTGGAGCTCTCTGAGAGAAACGCTTCAAGTCTAGATGAGGCTCCGCTGCCAGATTTTCCCTGGGAAACCAATGATATCGCTCAGCGAGAGCTCTCAGAAAGCCATATTTTAGGTCCAAGTAAGGCTCCGCCTCCAGGTTATACCTGGGATATCGATGATTCCACTCATGAGAGGCTCGCGGAAAGTAGTGTTTCAAGTTTGGAAGAGACTCTGTCTCCGGATCTTGCCCGGAAAACCGACGATGTCGCCTACGAGGAGCCCCTTGAAATCAATATATCATGCCTGGATGGGGTTCCGCCTCCGGACTTTGCCTGGGACACTAACGATGTTGCTTGCGAGACGCTACCTGAAAGTAGTACTTCAAATCTGGATGAGATTAGCACAATGAGGGATGAAGAGCTGCCTACATTTCCCGATGGCAGGAAGGGGAAGAAGAAGCTTCTTGAAAAGCTTACGAATGCTATAGTCGAGGATATGGATTACTTCAAAAGGGGATCGGCCAAGAGCCTTGATCCCATCAGATTGCATGCTCAGATCATCCCTTATCTTGACGACTCCATCTGGCAAGATAACAAACTGTCTGCTGTTCCTGTTGGAAGAATTCTGGCCAAAACTGTTCTTGGCATTAGTAGGGCTATAGGAAGGAAATTACCCGATTTGGTCAAAATAGAAAGGGACCGTGTTGTGGGTATGGGCATAGATATGGATGATTCTATCGATATTGAGATGCAACATGAACAGCCAATCTCCTCTCCTTCACCTTGGAAAGCCTTTTTCAAAGATGAGTTGAAGAAATGGCGTCCTTTTGCTAGGTGGCCAAGGACCCATTTGCCCCCGAAAAGTATTGATATGGACGAAGTTACGGAAATTTTCAACGACGAACAGCAGCCGACGACCTCCCCTTCAACTTGGGAAAGTGAACAAGACTTACTAACAAAGCCTGAACCAAATGTCATCGACTGGATACTCGAGATTGTTGAAAAAACAAAGCCCAGCTGGGCAATGCCAGGCAGGTCACGACGGCATTTAGAAAATATGATTACCTGCGAAGTGGCCCGGATTCTAATGACAAGCGACACGAGCGCCCTCGGCGATCCCCTAAGCAAGGCTCCTATACCAAAGGCCCATCCGATTTTGGAAGATTCTTCTACTTCAGAGGACCGACGGACTAAGCTGCAGCAAAATAAGTGGCGTTATGAGCGGGAAGTAAACCAACTTGATGGTAGAGTTGACTATAGACGTGAGGATGAGTATCTATATTTAGAATACCATATTTAGAATAACAAAATCAAATTAGCAAACCAGCGAAGATTAAACATGAGATAGCTGGTGTTCACTAATACTCAGCTATTCAACTATCAATCTGCCTCTTATTAATTTGCCTCTGGGAGAGAGGATGGGATCTCGTATCCTCTAATAGGTTTGGCCGTACGTGACATGATTGAATGCAATGTGTCTCATAAATCTTAGCTTGATGCCGGCGATCTCGCTGAAATTCTTATGGAATGAATGTCAAATGAACTCGTATAATGTAGTACAGATCTTCTCGAGTGCTGAGCGCTCCCCGCAGCTGGCACATATAGAGGTAGAGAAGCTGTTGACTTTGGTAGACTATTACGGTTTAAAAATAAGTAGCGCTATCCTTCATTTTCTGTAAGAACTCTGCTGCGATGTCAACATCATCTGTGACTTGTGTAGAGTCATACTTGGTTGAGTTGTCATACACTTTGTTTAGGTCGTCTCGCGTAATAGTGGTGGATGTTTTGAGGGTAAACATCAATGCTATGAATATGATGTATACAGGGCTGGGAACTATATCATCGTAGTCACTCATGGAAAAGGCTGACTGTGGTATGATAGAATCTTAGAATGCAGCCTTGAGTTTAATGTGAAGTACTGGCATCTTTTTAAAAGATTATAATTCAATAGACGATTGATTGTGAGTAAGAACATTTCGGTGATGGGTAAAACGTCAATTATAGCTCAATTACATGAATGTTTAACTACCTAAGTTATAGATTATGTTAGAATTACTATATCATGGATAGTATCATCGCCCTTCAACTAGCCTACTTGACCATTACCGGGAACTAGCTCTCATTCTTGTCTCCTCTCGAATTTCTAATTGTCATGTGCCTCTTGGTGATATTTTCCCATTCCGGTTCTCACAGATATTCAACTCGATCCAACCTAGACGCCAAAATGGACATAAGGTACCCAAAGATAGTCCATGGCAGGCGCCAGCGGCTTAGAACTAAGCAGCTTGGAGTCTCTCTCTTCTTCCGCATCATCTCAATTCCTCCCGTCTCGTAGCATCCTGATGGCGCGATGAAGGCCTCGGCTCACGGCTACATCTGTCATATTGACTACAAGTATGTACCAAAACGGAATTACGTGACTCTGAATTCGGAGTCTGAAGATGCAAGAAATAGAAGCCAACAAATTGAAGAAAAGAACATGACGGAATACCATATTCTCTAATAAATAGTGTATGTGTCTGAGCTGTCACTTCTCGTTGCCAATAGTGTCTGCAGCGAAGGGGCAACAACTTTCATGGTACCAGATACAGCTACTTGAGAAGCATCTGGTCTCAGCCTTACATCCCAACTCTTATATTATAATATAATCTTTTCTTCATGTTTTGTCTATTCAATAATAATTTTTGCGGGCCTCGACCAGCTCGATATGCCGGAAGAATTTACTGGCAGGGTGGCCAAAAAACAGATGCAGCCAACTGGACTAGGGTTTATCACGACTGCCAGCTACCGGTTCTATTCATAGAAAACTTAAAGCGGCCATAATTTGTCACAGATTTCTTACATTGGATGCTAATGGTGTTACCGGGTACGGGGTACTCTATGAAAGTACTACTTTCAGTCTGGATAAAAGTAGCACTATATTATATGAACTGCTGCCTGAGGTTTAATAAGAAAAAGAAGAAGAAGAAATATCTCAACAAAGCTGACAGATTTTAGATTTAATGTTATTAAGCGTAGGAGACCGAGCTCATATTATAACGAAAGCATGTAATTTAAAAATTAGGCAATACCACCTTTGTCTACCCAAACCATACTTTATCCTAACGACTCCAACTAATAAAATACATCTACTAACGCTTTAAGGGGTCAGCCATTGCTGGCAAGGTATAGAGATATCCAGGTTCAGAGTCCACTGATACGTTTACAAGATGTTAGGCGGAGTTGTACCTAATATAAATAAACGGGTAAAAGCTGAGTTTACACTGAACCAAGACGCCACTGTATACATGTAGGTACTGATGAACAGCCATCCTTAACCGTTAACGTGACCGACAACGTCGGTAATACAAACAAAATTGAACCTGTAGCTACCTAGAAGTCCGTCGATCACATTATATCAATGATATTTGCGCCTTCTGGCTTGCTTGTACATCATCATCATAATTTAGAATGACCCGGAGATGGTTTATCAGCATCTGAGTTCTTGGTCATCTAAGGGCCAAGATATCGGAGCATTTGCTTGTAACATCGAGCGTTGTTCTGTTTCCTCAGTGACAGTGACACTGGCTGGAAAATCAAGGTACTCCTTGGAGTCAAAAGACGAGTGCACCATCCAACGAATCCCCCGCCTCTCCGTAGCGGTTCTCACCCAACAACATGCAAGCGCTTCTCTCATTGACTATGTTTAGTTCGCCAGGACAGAGTTACCAAGTCATCTAATAGTTTGCTGTAAATAGGAGGCTGTTCAACCACCCTAAAACTCTTGTTGGTTCCCTTATATACGTATGTAACAGTATGCTCCGGGTTGCTCTCAGCTATTGGCTGTACTGCATGGACGCGGGAAAAGAGCCCAGATTAATATAGGTAGCTACCCGTTGTGTAATCGAAAGGCTCATGCTGTGATCCTACTGTTCGCATCGGGCGGTAATGTGGCCCGCCAGATACAAATGTAGCCCGCTTGCACTTGTGAACCAAAGTTGGGGATATGATCAATGTCGTTCGCTTTCGATAAGTTCCTCGACAAGTCCCAAACGTCGCCTTTATCGCGTATCTAAATTTCATCCAAGATCCATGATGTATTGTTGGCCTCTCACAGCCCTGTTTTACACCTTCGCCATCCATGTTAGCTCCGCGGCGGCTGCAAAGAACCAGTTTCAGCAGTGGTATCCGGAATACGGCTTCATCTTTGACCGCATCTTGAACAACAGCTGCTCACCACAGTTCGAACTCTACACCGACGGCAGAGCAAACAAAACGGAATGGGAGCAATCTTCCCGTTGGCTCGGTTCAGGCGGCACCTCCGCGCTCGTCGTGCCTCTTGTCAATTGCCTGCTGGAGAACGCTCCCGAATATGTCAAGAGTGATATGGCTGGCGCCAGTGTCCTATTAGGCCTGACTCCCAGTATTCTGATCGGCTTTGGTTCTGACGTAGCAGAAAGATCGGCTCTTTCCGTCGTTGGAAGACGTCCTTTCCTCGCACTTTACCTGAGTGTGGGAGCTCCCGCCGTGTCTCCCTTGCGCCTATTTGAGCATCGCAAGCTGACGGATATCTTGGGCGAGCGGCGAGGTCGACTGGAACCCAAGTTCTTTAACTTATACATTGAATGTATAATTCTGATAATCGAGTGTGCGATTGTCTTCGGTGCCATTGCTAATAACGTCGTTCTTGCCCACGACCTTGCGGCTAGAGCTGTGGCCAGTTTTGCGCCGCATTTGACGTATCTGCCTCTCCTATGGATCTTTCTGGCCGCTGCTCCGCATATATTTGCGGTAATTGCCCTTTCGCGTCTTATCGTTGTGAAGTCCACAACACACAAGATGTCGTTACGACGCCGGTTCAAGACATGGTTCATGCCGTGGATGGAACCTCAAGCTGCCACTCTGGAAACGTTCAATGAAACGCCACTGTATCTGTCACTTTCGTCATTTGTTTCAATTCTCACCAATATGCATTTCATTTTCGGTACACTTCTCTTTTCAAGTTTGCTCTTTATTTCGGTCCGAGACAGCATTCACATCGTGGGCCGATTCTTAGCCTCGGTTTTTGTTTGCAGAATCGTCCTCATGTATGAGCTTGCGAGGCTTAGGCATCTTTATAATTCGACAGATGGATATCGATTAATCACATAGGGCGAATGCTAGCGAGGATATGACATAGTTCTCATTGGTCAATTGTAGTGCCATATTCACGCCACCAAGCATATTTAGTTAGTACAATGGGGGAGGCGAACGAGCAAGAGAAATCAACAGGGTTTTCCATCAGCTCTATTTCCAGACGATGTTAGGACAGTGTAATAGAGCTCATTTCTATGCAACCTTGGGCCTCACTACCCATCCAAATACCTGTCTGTCATGCTTTTTCTCACAAATCTTGCGATGAAGTGAGTTCTCCAGAGCAAATCTATTCCACCTTCGTGCTTGCATCTGCCAATAATCTCGCCACGGATGGGACGGGCCAGGCAAGATGCTGAATCGGATCCTCAAGAACTTCACCTGATGTTATTGCGTCGACGAGAGCCACTCCAACATAGCCCCCGATGCAAGTAAAGATATGCCACCTGCTCGAGCTTCGTTAGATATAACAGCACTGAAAAGTAACTATGTAACTGCAAGGTAAGCATACCATCCGTGTAACTCGAGCAAAAAAGCCAGTGGAAGGCCAGCTGAACGCCTCATCGAAGTCAGCAGCGAGCATAACCAGCCATCTAATAGCCACACAAAGTACCCGAAAGCGAAATTGACTGTGCAAAATGTAAGTCCAAATTCTCTTGACCCACGAAATTAGGGCAACTTACAGCAGCCAAACAGCGCGATATTTCGAAGGTTCTTCCTGATGTGTTCATCTGACACTTGTTGAGAAATAAGCTTCAGCGTTCGAGTTGCGATTAGATAAACGGCAAGACCAAAGGTTGCTGCATGAAGGAGAAATTCATCCATAACCATGTGAGTGATCATAACCACTGTAAAGAGGACAGTAAGAAGTACGGCCACAAGCTTAGTACGCTGCGGGCTACTCTTGAATGTCAAGAGGCGATACACCATTGGCGTCGTTAAAAGATGCATGGACAATTCATCCGCTGAGGTGAAGTGAGATTGAGTCAGAACTGGGTAGGAGTGATACAACATACACATTTGGGTGTGGTATTTCAAGGTCATATGATAACTGGCAGAGCAAATACCAACGCCAATCAATCCGCTGTAAGAAAGCAGACGAGCGTAAGTCTGGCCATTACGGCCGGGCTTAGACAGACCATATACTCCATAAGCAACTACCAATACAATAACCAGATTAGTGTGTCGAGGTCTAAGACAGCATAGGCCGTGTATGCAATTTCACACACCGAAAGCCAAGCTGCTTAGAGTATTGATAAACTCAGCGATATATCGTGTAATGGCATAATCCTAATATCTCACAATGGCTCGTTAACAGGTTCTGCCATCTAGCCGCCTGGGCAAGAGAGGGTATGGAGAAGACTACCTCTTCGCAAAAGCTAAATATTGTAAGCTATAACTGTTTCAAAGCGTGGGTAGGAAGTTCCAAAGCATACTTCAAATAAGACGTAACCTCACCCCAAAATGGGTTGTCGAGAGAAGAATGCATTGTTCGTATGGCTGTGAGGTACGTAGGAGAGGCCCAATCTTTGCTGCCAAGTCATGGACATGAGCAGAGGTGATTTCGGCTGGTTACGGCCACTTTTAAAGGAAGCAGCAGGGACTCGCGACTTTGAACTCACGGGATGCCGCGAAAACGACGCGGTTAAGCCAATGAAAAGGCTCCGCGATATCGTGTAACCTCGTGATTTCTCGTCCGCACCGACCCGCTGGCTGTTCGAGCCTCGCACGGACGCGTACCATGCGTGAAACGCGCAGGAAAACTCGAACAAAGACCGGGTAGGCTTGATTTTAAAGTCGCGTAGGGATGTTAGCTGATCACTGAGCGTAGCAATGCTTTGGCCGGTCAGCTAAAATTCGTTTGATTGAGCGTCTTGACGCCAACACAAGTGAACAAGCAATTGTTACCAGTTCATCTTATCGATGGCTTGTTGCGATTCCAGGTACTCCGAGCTCCGAAATTAGGACTCGAAGCCCTTTTAATCTCTCATAGACAATGGACCAATAACGCCAATGCTGCGCGGTTCTAAATGGCATCCTTCTGGCCAGTCGATCCAAGAGAGCCCACTAGGGAGAGCGAGGGAACGGCGTTGAGGCACTGTTGCAGGAGCTTAGTCCACACCCACCGTGGCAGACGATAATACAGCAATCTTCGGCCCTATCAGAGGACGCGACTTTTGCTATCTGGCCGTCTGCAACACATCCAGATAACCGTAGATTGACACACTAACATTTACTTCATTCAATCAGCTAACTAATGTCTCATTCTCTTTTTCCAATATGGTGAAATCGCCGTCGTAAATCCATCACAAGCACGGAGAGCCACTTCAACACATCCGGAGGCCGACACCAGCCTTCGAAATAATTCTTATTGTATGTGTACACTTTCCTATATTATTTCTAAGCATCCTTTACGCCTCCGTCAGCGCGGTATCCAGTAGAGCAGCGAAGATTCACCATCTGCTACGTCGAGCGCCACATGATTCACGGCATGGGCTACAAGGATTCAACATTTGAACTTTATGCGGTCACCCGCACTAGTCTTAAAAATTGCAACAAGACTATGATAAATTTAATATATAGTAAAATTAACCACATTCCAGTTGGAAATACGCTGCTGTTGTCCTGTAAATGCCACGTCTAAGCTTTCCACATCTAAGAAATCCCCAAGCCTATATCGTAAGCCAAGAGCTGGCGATGCTCAGCTACAGCTAAAACACATTTTCTATACCATAGGCACATCCCAAGGCACCCCACCGATGCCATCCAGGTTGACCAGGTCTCACACGTCTCGCATTTTTGACAAGTCTTTCGCTGTAAATCTACCTTGATCTTCGCTGCATAATAGCTAAGATTTCTCAGCCCAGATAATCCTGTCAGCTCCATGAAAAGCTTGTGCATCAAAAGGAAATGTTGTAATTGCAAAGCACATGAATTTGGCGTGAGATATTCTCTGCTAAAGGGCCTAGCTATCTAATCACGATGATGGGAGCACTTCTTTTTAATATAAACCCAATCTACTAGATTCTCGGAGACAAAGCGAGTAGAAATCACCTTGTCCTTGACATATATATAATATTAAACATGGGAAGTTATCAGACATGTTCATTATGCGGAGAATACAGCCTAAGAGAAGCTGCTACTGGTATACAAAAGTAGTCGACGTTTCCCGTTCTTGGCTCGAGATATTCATTACCTACAAAGTTGTATTTATGTGACTTGGAGTCTCACCTTTATAATCACTATGAGGAAAAGGCGCCTGGTAATACCGTAGTTTTATCTATTAAGAGTAAAGAGTAATGGGAAAATTGCTCATAAACAATAGAGGCTCCTCTGCATTTGCACCATGGAATTGGGAAAACCCTGACGGGGGCGAAAAACCAATACCGAGGAGCAAAGAGAATATCAATCCTACTTTCAGTTCACACTAAACATTACTGTAATGGTTGTTGGGGGGGGGGGGGGGGGGGGGGGGGGGGGGGGGGGGGGGGGGGGGGGGGGGGGGGGGGGGGGGGGGGGGGGGGGGGGGG